ACAAAGTTAAATCATTCTGTTAACATTTATATTGTCATAAATTTCCCATAGATTTAATTATTCACCTTGATTAACCTTAATTGTGCCGAGTGGATGAAAAAAAAAATCAGTGTCTCAATTAACTTATATACAAGGAGATTTGTGACCTTAATTGTGTCTTAATATTTGTTAACAGTGATTAGTTGATTACTTTTCTCTAGGTGAGTAATGTAAAAATTTAGTGTTCCTGTTTAATCACAATTAACTGATTACATGATTAACTTTAAATTGTTATCCATAATATGTTTACATGTTTGAATCAATTTTTCACTTGCAGACACAATTAACTGTCACATAAATTTAATAGTAGTAATAATCATGGACACTTATCAAATTGTTATTGTTAATTGTACACTAAATGATTAAGTAAATTATGTAAATCCAAGTTAATTTGATTGCTTAGGAAATCAGTGAGTTTCAATCAAAGGTTTAAAAGTCAAAACTGTATTTGCATGAATTTTGATCATTAAATCATCTTAAATTGAAATAATTTGATGATTAACTGATGGTTAATTTACTGATTGTTGGATAATTGATGAAAATCATGTAGATTAATATTCAAAATCAATCAATTTACTTTGAATGGACAAATAATGAAAAAAAAGGACAAACTGGACACGTTGTTGTTACTGGTCAAGGAAAATGAATATCCAACAATTACCGATAATTTAATAATCATTTTGAAAGATGAAAAGATTTACAAGCCAAAGAAACAAATTGAGTTAACAATTTAAACTAAATTTATTTAAGTGTTGAGGAAATTTTCGGCCAGTGGTCAAGCAAAAGTAGCTAACAAATTAACCCAATTTTCATCGCCCACTGCTAATGCATTTCGGCGGCAATAAGAATAAGAATAAGATGAAATATGAAGAGTAAGAAAATAATTTCGCCCTCAAGTGAAGGATAATTTTCGAGGGTCAATTTGGTCTAAATTGTAACTTGACCATTTAAATTAAGGAACCAAATTAAATTAACCTTACCACTAATTTACAAACAATCAGATACTCAATTTTACCCTGAAAATTGGCCAATGGTTTTAACCTTAATAATAGTTAACTACGACTATTGGAATAGTTTAAATTGTTATGGATCAATTTTTGATTGTAAAGAGAGAGAGAGAGAAAAAAAATTAAGAATTAAAAGAAATATAATAAACCAGATCACGTCGATCATGTTTTTCATGATGAAATTCAAGTCAACACTCATCAAAACATCAGAGTATTTGAAAGATGAGAGTAAAGAAAGAGGAAAGACTGAGACCCGGAAACGTGAAACACTCAATGGATGTGACTTTTTCAGATTCAGACAAAAAAAACCTAAAGGTAAACACAACAGGTAAAAAAGGTAAGCAAAGAGAGAGAGAGAGAGAGAAAGGTTAAAGTAAGAAAAAAAAGAGACTGAAAAAAAGATAAACTCATATGATAATATAACAATAACATCAGAACAAGAGCAAAAACAGTAATGTGATGAAGATGGAAGATAATAAGAAGATGATACAGACTATTCCAAGGTAGAAACTGAGCCATCAAAGGTAATTATCTGCATGTTAATTCAGATAATCTCAATGGTTCCCATGCAAACATTACGAACAATTAACTGAATTTCATAATTTCCATAGTTTTTTATCTAATCGTTTCAAAGGGTTATCACTTCACTTGGAACCACTTTGACCATTATCTTGGCCTCTTATCGCCTTGAGGGACCATTGGTCACTATTGGTGTCATTTTATACCAGGAGAAAAGTCCAATTGTGAGAAAGGGTCAACTATTAAATGGTCAAGAAGATAATCGCAACTGAAATGCTCAACAATCTAAACTATTGTATGGAAAATAATAGAGAAGAAAAAAAGTTTTCGTTCCAAAGTCTTTAATTTGATGTACTTTGTGTCCAATGAATAAATCAACATGACAATCAAGAAATTTGTCTTTTTGTTTTAAACTATTTCTAATTGTTTCAGAATAATCAACGCCCCAACAACAACAACAACAACTAATTCAATTTCGCGGGTTGGTAATCAAATGAAAACTTAATGACTGAAAAGCATTAATTAAACAATCAAATAACATCATTTACTGAGATTTAATCAAATTACAATGGTCATCATTTGGTCATCGTTGTAACTTTTACTTTCGAAGCCAATTCACTTGATTTTCTCATATTAATCATCATTTTCACCATTATCATTAAAATGTCATTTAATATACTTTTCACTGATCATCATCATCATCATCATCATCGTCATTATCATTAGTAGGACCTTTAATGTATCACCTTTATGATTACAATTAAGGTTTAGTCTCTGGGAGATGTTAACAATTAGGTTCGGGTGTGTCGAGTTGGATGACTGAATCGTTTCAAGAGCAGTTAACCAAATTTACCTATGTATTTACCTGTGGATATTATTATTACCATTGAAATCATCATTATCATCATTATCATCATATGCATCATTTACTTTCCTGGAAATCGTGTAAATGACCATCTAGGTAACAGAGTAACTAGAAAAGTGTCATTGACAATTAGATTCACAATCATTAGAGAGGTTAAATTGTCACCTCTTTATTTAGTTTTCACTGAGATTTGTTTCACTTTTCTAGGTTTTTGTTACCTGTTGAAGATGATAATGATCATGGTGATGATAATGATGAATTTTGTAGCACTTGGAATAGTTTAAATAATAGTCTATGAAGGATAGAGCTAAATTTACCATGGAAATTTATGTGATTATCATTGGACAATCATAACAAGTTAAATCATTGAAAGAGATGACATTTTATTACAATTGTATTATAATAATAGTTTATATACTCAAGTGAATCAGCTTAAATGATTGTCAACAATTAACCAAATCGTTGCTACAATTTAGATTTGATTCTCAATTCAAATGATTGCGTTTTCTTTTCAATTTTTGTAAAGTTTTCTAATATCGATCTGATAGATTTTCAATCATTTCAAATGATTCTTGAAGATTTTCCGGTTTCCCCTGACATTTTATTTTCTGTCATCTTTTCAGAACTTATTGATCCGATAGTTTTGACTTTATGGGTCAATTTTGATAATATGTCAACACTTTTTTACTTATGTTACCAAACTAATCAATCAACTTGGATAAATTGATTAGCGCGATTATCTGAAGATGAATCAATCTTAATCTTTGATTGATAAACTTTGTAAGTGAACTTGATTTGATTATTGAAATGTAATCAGTTGATTAGATTAATTCAAGATCCTAATAACGATGGTGAAATATAAAAGGTAAAACCAATACTATTAATAAACCAATTGAATAAACTGAAAAAAAACTAACGGTAAACATAATCCAATTGATGAGATTAAAGTGGTTTTGATTAACAATTACTAATGATAATCATTGAAAAAAAAAGAGATGAAGTTTTTTTTTGATAATGAAAACCGTTAGCCTTTGATTTGATTTAATACAATTTCCGGTAAAAACTTTTATTAAGGTGAAATATTGAGATAATTTCATCTGATTGTTAGGATTGAATGAATTTTCATCCTCATCTTTTCAGTTGCAAAGATACAATAAAGATGATGATGAAAAGGATTAGCACTTCAGACACTTTCCCTTTGGTTAACAAATTAAATATCTTTTCAAGAAATTAACGGTAAAAAGATAATATTGAACTTCATCTCTCCCTTTTCATTATCACCTTTTTTGTATCATCTTCAAATAATAACGTGCTAATAACGTTGATAATGGCACCTTTTTTTTCATCATCATCTTGCTGCTGAATCGGTTGAGCATTTACTTTATTCACAACTCACTCTCATTGTTGTCTCTTTCTCCCTCTCATCATCATCATCATCATCATCATCTCTCTCTCTCTCTCTCTCTACTCATTCTCACCGCAACTTCCGTGATACACTTGATTAAGCTCACTGGTTAGGTCAGATTGTGAAGAATGTTTTGACTTGGAAGAAAAAGAAAAAGAGAAGTTCTGAAAGATGAATTGGAGAAAAGAATAAAAAATTTTAAAAGAGAAAAAAAAATATTCTCTTTTATCTTTGCTTACCTGATGGAAAAAAATATAAGTACATTTTTATCATTCATGGTGATGACTTTTAATTTAGAATGTCAACTTGAGTGTAGATTATATAATATCTAATCTTGAACTGACCACAAGAATAACCTGTTGATAATAACAATAAATTGTATTAAGTCCGAATGAAAAAAGCTTTTCTATTAGTTTCGATTGCTCAAGTAATCGTAAAAACTAATTGTCAATAATTCGTGATTCAAAATTTAACGGCAATTACAAAATTTCATTCTAATTGTTATGATCTATTGGGGCAACTACATTTATTATCATTACACAGTCCGAACACTGGGTTAAGTTTATTGCAAATCAATATTTGATCAATTACATTGCAATTTCTGCTCACTGAACGAAATTGCCAAAATTGACCAATAGAACCTAAATTTACCTGTAATTAGCCAAATCATCGGTAAACAATTAAATAGTGGACAAAATGTGATCCGAAAGCAATATGAATCAGATAAATTTGAATAGAAAAAAAAATAATGATAATCAAGGGGAAAAATTTTCTTGCGAAAAATCATCAATGCAAGAGAAGCGCATGGTAAAGCAAGATGGAGCGATGAGAAGAGAGAGAGAGAGAGAGACGATGATGATGATTGTGATGAGAGATGAAGATGAAAAAAAAGGTTCAATTTTTGAAGAAACTTTTCCTGTTGATGCTTCTTGTTACGTAGAGACAAAAAATGCTTTCAACGCATTGATGTTTGTCGAAATCTCTACCCCTCCATCATCATCTCTTACCCTCCTCCTCATCCTCCCTCTCCCTCTCTCTCTCTCTCTTTCTTTCTCTCACTAAAGTAGACAAGAAAGATGATGATGCTAAGCCCCGGGAGCGTGAAATAAACTTAGGGAGCAGAAGTTCAAAGAGGATAAGTAGGTTGTTTAGCAAGTGTTTCAAGTTCAGTTTCAAGTATTCATCTCAAGGAGATAATGTTATTTGTGTTTATGGTGTAAAGTTGAATATAAACTTGACAATCCAAAGGATAAAACTGTGAACCGCTCTTGAGATCAACTTTGATACTTATCTCCATCTCCATCATCATCTTCATCCTTTTCTCCTCTCTCATCTCATCTTCCCTTTTGTTTTTTTCTCTCTCTCTCTATCTCTCTTTCTCTTTCTCATCTATTGCCATTCAAATAACAATAACATCCAATGATGAACCAGTGTAAAATGAACCGGAAGACATCAGGATGTCCACTCAAATGTGATTTCTCCGGATTTAAGGTGTCCATTGTATTGTTTATGTTAACAGTGATTTTGCCAACCTTCATTGACTGTAAGTGACCTTTAATATCAAGTAAATGCACTTGATAAATTGGCCGTTAATTGTTACAGTTAATCAACAAGTTTGCAAGATTGTCAAGATAAACTCATCAACTAAATCTTTATACATAAGGAAACAGGTTTAAGAAAAAACATTTTTCTCGTTAATTTTATCATCTTCAAAGCTCATTAGTATCATGATTATCATCCTAATCACCGTCATCATCATCATCATCAGCATAATCCACACATCACAGAAATGATAATATTTGCAAAATGCAAATTGCAAAGTAAAAAAAAACTAACAAGATCTTTATCATTAGTTGCAGTTAGAAAACATTTACAATTATAATTTACTCGCAAATCAGCTGATCCCAATCAACAATATGATGATTATGACGATGATTAGTGATGATGGACAAGATATTCAGGTAGATGCAAGGGAAAAAAAGTCACCGGTGTCAAAGTACCAGAAAACAAATATCAAGTTGACAGAAAGTTATTGTATTTACCTGAACAGTTAATTGATCATTGAAACATGAAAAAAGCAGCAAAAAAAGTATATCTTTGTAATCAATTGATTGTAATTTGTTACAACGTATTGATTGTTGTTGTTTTTGTTGACAATTAACAAAACAGTAAAAGAAAACAATAGTAACTTGACCTCCGTTAAGACCTGTGACCTTTAGATGAACAGTTTTTTTTTTGCTGACAATTTTCATGTACAAAAAACTTTCATCATTTTCCATGGGTCAAAGTTTGATAACATTAGATGAATGAAATTATTACTATTATTTTGATTGATTGATTTTACTTTTTGCAAATTCACTTGTTGATTCTCGGTAAAAAAAAAATTAGCCGGTTAATTATCGGTGGTCATTGATTGTTTGTTTAATTGTTTTCTTCTCCTCCTAATTGTCCAGGTATGAAAGTAAGCTTTGAAAAGATGACCAACCGTGATTTCCCTGGACCAACTTACTTTACTGCACGAAACATATCCTTATATGAGTGTCTAGGTTGGTGTAGGGATGAGGCCGATTGTACATCAGCATCATTTTCATTTATTGTTAATCCAATGGCTGCAAATCAGGAAACACTATGTCGACTTCAAAATGAAACCCTGAGCGGCAAAGTGTCCCAATCGATGTCATCCCAACAGGGTATCACCTCATCAACATCATTATCTTCGGGTAACCCACAGAGAGCCAATAATCTTTACTTTTTCTCCAAATTAAATCTAAGATCAGGTAAGAGGAAAAGAACAAAATTTTGGGTGAAAAAAGAAAATACAAATAGAGAAAAATTAAACGTCACCATTAAGTTCATTAGGTTTGGAACTTTTCCCTCATCATCATCATCATCATCTTCATCTTCCACCTACTCCTCCCTTTTCCTCCACCGTTCTCATCAATTTCATTCTTAAAAGTTTTTCAGGTTTTCTCATTTTAGAAATACTTGTTTCTTTCTCTCTCTCTCTCTCTCTTATTTTTCTTTCACCAAGAAAAAGCTCTGAGATTTTCACCTGAAATCACAGGTAACATATTCTGGGAATGCCAATAAAAAACCCAAGAGCTCAGAATAGCGTAACAAGTTAATGTATTAGTTTGTAAGGTGACAAAATTTTAATTCTCACTTCATGATCAATCTAATGATCTTCAGAAAGTTGTATTACTTTTAGTTCTGGTGGATATTGAGGGTGGTAGTGGAAGGAAGATGAATTATGGTGAAAACGGAAGAAGAGTAAGAATCACGGAATCGTTTTAATCAGAGTTCCAGATTCAAGTTGAAGAAAGAAGATAACATTTAAAGAGAAAGAGAGAAACTCATGATATAATTCATGACGAAAACAATGAAAATGATGATAAAGAAAGAGAAAAATATTGTCTCTTTCTTTTTCCATCTTCTTTTAAAGATGAAAAGATATTCATGGATCAAGTGAACTTTAAATACCGTTAATTTTAACTTCTCATCTGCTAACATGAGAATTTATTTGTTTTTTTTTCTTTACTTAAAGCTAATCCCTTTTATCCTTGTTAATCCGATAATCTAATGTTACTCATCTTTTACTTTGACAAATTTAGATAACATTTGCAGTCGACTTTGGACATTTGAACGTTATCCTAATCGAGTACTTCGAGGTCTCGACAATGCAATCATATACACTTCCAATAAGGAAGCTTGTTTAGCCGCTTGTTTGAACGAGGTAAGCAATTTAAACTAAATCAATTCAACAATTAACAAGAAAACAACAATATCCATGATAACAGACAATTAATCTAGATGATTTAACAGCAATTAGCCTGAAAACAATTGAATACAATGTTTAGTATTATTATTGAGTTAAATTGTTGCGTTTGTGACAAACTTATTATTTAATTAGTGATTTGATTAACTACTTGATTTACTATTAGAATTGAAACTTTTTTTGTCAAATGATTTAAATTGATTAATATACATTTCCAGGCACTTATATACTTTACTGATCACAATTAACTTTAATCATTATGATTTGGTGATGATGAGTAGCTTACACAGTTGAATAAATTGTTGTTTTAATTTTCTTGATAATCTTTCATTAAACTTTTCACATCAATAGGCCTAATCCATAATAATCCTTAATAGTTAACTTGACTAATCGTTAATTGAATAAATTACCCAACTGTAACAATGTTCAATAGTTAATTGCTACGTTAATTATTGTTAATCTAGTTGATCCCTTCCATTACTTTCAATTGTTGCTGTTGAACGGTTTTAACTTGAAAATATAATCTCAAAGTTTTTGGATAACATTCAACAACGATGTTTAATCATTTAAAACCGGAATCAACAATTAACAGTTTGCTTTCAGTTAACATTTAGATTAGATTACAATTAGCTAATCATGTTTTCACCAACAATCTGAAAACGATAATCAACAATTTGTTACCAATAACATTTTCACAATCAGTCAATCAGATTTAGCTTTCAGATATTCAAGTTAATTGTTGAAAACGGATATGGAAACGGATTAAGAAACAATTGATTGTTTCATGATAAATTTAGTAGTAGATTTTTAATTAACAGTTAGTAGTTGATTCACTTGATAATCAACAATTTTCAACGTTCATTGATCACAATGGGTTAGAATTAAGTTTTTTTTTGTCCAATCAATTTTTCCAATTTTTAGTTTACTTGATTGTGTTGACAATTAATTTACTAATTGTAAACTCTTTTTTTTTCATTGATTGTTCACAATTAGTAAATTGTGATTGTTCATCCTTTTCTTGTACTGATCTTACAATTACAAGTATGAGATTGCAAATGTATCCGTAATTTAGTTGATTAAGTTGATTTTTTTTTGCTCCGTCCCTGTTGATTTAGTTAAATTGTTCATGGTTAGTAAAAAGTTAATTGTGATTGTTGTTGCTGATCTATTGAAATAAAAATCAACAGACAGGTAAATTAGTTGGTTATTATCAATGGATAACAATCTGAATGATGATGATGCTGATGATAAGTATTGAGGGAAAACTAATCTGGGTGTATTGTTAATCTTTAAGCGGATGATCATGTACTTTACCCCCTGGGATAATCCTCAGTGGGGTGGCTTAATCATCTGACTAGGGTGTCATTGGGGTGGATTTGATAAAGATCAAGATGAGATTAAGATTATCTTTGACTAGGCTAGTGTGTCGATCAATTATTTCCTAGTTTCATTTTCTCTTATTATCTTAATATGGTCAAGTCGTGGTCAGTTTCGGTGCCGCTCCCAGGTCACTCTTGTAGTTATGCTAAATGAAAACCACTGCGATTTGATTGCACACCTTTAATCAGGTGCAGCAACGGCTTAACCTTGAACCAAGAAGAGAAAGAGAGAGAGAGAGAGAGAGAAGATGATGATGATGAAAGGAGTAAAGAGGGAGGATGAAGGAGGAAGAGCAAAGGACGATAACTGTGAGAGTTGTTTCCATCTCTTTCACTTGAATTCTGGTTCTCTTTCTTCTCATCCTAATCTTCTCTCTCTTTTTCCTCTAAACTATTCACCCTGAAATTGAACTTTTACCTGTGTATGTATTTAAGTGTATGATACGATCATCTCTCTCTCTCTCTCTCTCTCTCTCTCTCTCTCTCTCTCTCTCTCTCTCTCTAAATACGCACACATAAAGGTGTTGATACTTGTCTATTTGTCCCTTTAGTTTGTTGATACTTTGTTACCATGATTTTTTCATCTTCCAACAAGCAACAACATGGGAAAAAAACAATTCTTCTCATTGTATTCATGAATGAACGGCGTTTATCATGATGATTCAGTTATTGACTACTTAGTTCAGCTCAATCTATGACATGACAATGATTCAAGAGATTGATGATTTAAGAGAGAAAAGAAGGCAAAAAAAAAATAAGTCAGACTTTTGTTCACCAAACATACATGATACATTCTGAACAATGAATTCCAATCATCAGAATTTTTGTTTATTTTTACTCTTCATTCATTATTGTCAATCTAATCATCGTCATGATTATCCAATGGACTGAACTGATCATCTCATATATAAAATCATGATCAAAGTCTTTAATCATCGATCATTAACATTTACAGTTGAGTGAGAAGAACAAAGTTCTTACAGATTCGATGAAGAAAATGAGAGAAAAAAAAGTTCTAACATGAAAAAAGTTTCTCTCCATAATGAGAATCATGATTAATTCTTATAAATCTAATCTGTTAATTGATTGACTCAATTGTTTCATTAGGTAATGAGAACATTGATTAATCATTAATCCTACAATTGAATTTTGATCAACAATCAGGTCAAAGGTAGAAAAATATAAAACTAAACAATTAGGATGAAATGAAGATCCTGAATGATGATTATTGAATTTAATTGATTGTTATCAGGTTATCATGTAATCATAACAATTGATAATGATACTAAACATTGGTCTACAATTTAATAATCAATATATGTATTCAATTGAATTAATTAACTAGTTTTTTTTTCATTGAGAGGAAGAGGAAATCAATTGTAACACTGTTGTTGATTATCAATGATCAACAAACAATCATACATATTAAATTGGTTGTTGATTGAGTTTCTTTTCAATATCTTAATAGTAAATAACCAAGTTTATTGAAGTTTATTCAACTTGTTTAAACTTAAATTGTGTTCCGCTTGTAAATTAACAATCAAAAGGTAATAATAATAACGATAATGATAATACAGGTAAGAAAATCGTAAAAAAAAATTAACAGCAAAATCATTTGGTAAAACTTGATAATCAACAAAGTATATTAAATCTCAAAGGTAAATTCAATTCTTGATACAATTTAAATTGGTTAAAATTAGTATTCTGATTGTTAATCAGGAAAAAAAAAATTTACAAATTATTTCATCCAAATCATGATCAGAATTAATCTCACATAGAGAGTTAATCAAATATTTAATGAGCCAGAATCATGATCATTATTATTATTATTATTATGAAATACACTTGATTATAACGACAATTAAGTTAATCAGATTCGATAATGTCTCTTGTTAAGTTAATCAATTGATTGAATTACATGAATAAGTTTTCATAAAATCATAACTCTTTTTGTTTAATAGTCTCAACAATCAAGTTAAATTGTTTATGGTTAAGGAATTGACCTTAATTCAGTTTACTGATGTGAATGTAAAGTTAATTGTTTCCAATTAAATTAATATTCAATAGCGGATAAGAAACGGATGTAACAGGATTAATATTATTATAAACAATTTAACATTCACAGTTAGTTTTTGATTAGTAAAATGATTGTTAGTTAATCAAGTTAAATGATTAATGATTAGAAGGGAAAAATTAATTTCTTTTGTATTTAAATTAACACAATTTATATTTTAAACTCTCATCATGTTAATCAATCAACTAATCTTAAATTGTGATCTAGTTAAAACTATTAACACTTGGTTTATTATTATTATCTAATTGTAATTTAAATCATAATCAAGATATATAAATTTTCATGACCGAGTTAATTGTAATAAGTTAATTGTTTACACACGTATCAATGTTAATCTTAATTGTCCGGATGGAAACAAAAAACTGGTATCATCACGATATTATTATCATGGTGTTAATTGCGAATAATTAATTAACTAATCAACCTTTTTTCAAATGAATTTCTTAATTGTGATTTAGGTTCGTTTCCTATGTCGATCCGTTGAATTTAATTACGTTACATTATCTTGCCATTTATCGGAATATGACCGACGATCGCCTGGGGCATTTCCCGTTGATTTAATTGAGTCCCAAGGAGTTGATTACTTTGAGAATGCTTGTCTTCAAGGTAAGAAATTAAATCTTTTCCATGATTAGTTAATTGTCACAGTGAAAAACCATTTGAATGTGTGTTAACTTATTGACCAATATAAGGTTGACCCTGTTGAAAAAAAAGGTAGAGAGAGACAATTAGTTAATTGAATGATTACCAAGAAACAGAAACAACGTGAAAATCAATAACAATTAAGGTTAATTGTTGTGAAAAATTGGATTAGTTGTTAATGTCATGATTGTATCTGTTTATAATAATTAGCTAACCAAATATTAATCATATTGTTAAGATGAAAACCTGATTAGATTGTTAATTGTTTACAATTTAATAGAGGATGAAAAATGATGAATTAATTAAAGGGATAAATTATTGATGATTAGTAAATCTAATTGTGATAATCACCAACGTGGAGGTTTAACACTTAGCAACAATTTAGAGATACATATATAAATCATTGGACAGAAAATGGTGTTGATTGTTTGAGGAAAGATTAATGATTTAAACTAAATTAAAGGGTTAAGTGATTTGAGACAATTTAGTAACTAAGATAATTGAAATAAATGGATTATTAGAGTTAATTGAAGCAAATCAAAGAAACAGGTAAAACATAATTACAATACAAGAAAATCTTGTTGATTGGTAATAAAAAAAAGAGTAACAATCAAGGATGAAAATTAATACAATTGTAACAATCAACGAGTTAATTGACACAAATGAGAAAATGAAAATTAATTTCTTTTCAATCTCTGGACAACAAGTAACAATAAGATTGACCATTAACATTGAATTCTCACAGAAATTTTTTTTCTCTTCACAAACAACAACAACAACAACAATCTTTCATGTAATGGTCATTATAATGGTCACTCTTTGAATATATCAACACACCTTTGTAATGATCAACATAATCGTTTCATAATCAAAGGATAATTTCATCATGATTCAGTCAATGTTAACCTTTACAGTGAAAACTTGAGCTCCCATTTTACTGAAATTCATTACAATTTGTATCAGCTATTCATAGTTTCATCATGATAGTAATCAAGCCATCATTAGCATCATCACCATCAGTATTATTATCATCATTATCATCATCATCATCATCATGTTAATATGTTTTTTGTTTTCTAAAACTATCCAACAATTTAATATGATATTAAATTGTTGTAGATAGACTTTGTTATGACATTTTAAAGTCTTTTCAATACTTTAACATAGTGAAAAAAATATAATAATGTGTAAGAAAAACTTGAATGAATTATTCTGAATGTAACGAACCGTTGAATAGGATGATGATGATGATGATGATGATGATATAAAGTTATCATCCCTTTATCGTACTAGTACTTAGTGCTGCCAGGCGCGGAAATAATAAACACACAATGAGTTGAAGTGTTTCTTATTGTGCTGTTGATTAGACTACTTTGAATTTCCGATGAAATTTACTCAGCGTTTTCCTGGATCGTTATTTTCAACTTTCTTTTTTTTCTAATCCCCCATGAAAGAAGAGGTAATGATTGTCATCATCAAACGATAGAGCTGAACAATTAACCGTAATAGTCAATCATTAACAACTTAAATCTCTTAGGCTATTAAATCTGCTCTCCATTGGGAAAAAAATTCAACAATCAGGAAAAACACCGTTAACTTTTTCCTTTCACATTTGATATTGTTTTTAGCGTCTCAACGTATATATCAGATAATAATTATCCATTTGAACCCATTGATTGTTTTCTATCAACCATTTATTGGATAGTAATAAATATCAGGTCGTATTACAGTTTAAAAAAAAGGGATAACTGTTTAACCATAATCATTTTTGTTGGATGATTATGTTGACGTTTCTTTGGTTATGATTATGATGATGAAAGGGTTTCTGGCTTTACCTGCACAGGAACAATATTATCCTTTTGTCAGGTAGGCTTCAATGATTTCCTATCTCTTTTCATGTTGTTCATCATGAACTCTAATACTATTAGAGATGTTGGTGGATGATGATGGTGATGGTGTTGGTGTTCATGTAGATGTTGATGGAGAAGAAGAGAAAATAACTCGGAAGAAGTCATTGGGAAGGAGAAATGATGAAGGCAACTTTGTCTGCTTCTTTGCTCTCTCTCTCTCTCTCTCTCTAATTGTTATGTAACATGTTTAATGTTGCATTGTGATGGTGATGATGATGAAGATGATAATAACAATGATTAAGAATGGTGATGATTATGATTATTTAGAAGAAAAGATGATGATGATGAAAAGAGAAAAAAAAATTCCGAGAAATGAATTAGACAAAGTATATTATCACCACATTAAGAATTAGACTTTACCTGTAATACTTTGATTTTACAACAATTGTTATCATAGTTTAGCGACACAATTAACTGATTAGGGAGAATCAATTGATTGCTGATAAATCGATAAGTTGATTAACTTAACAATTGAAAGGAAATTAACTCTTTGTTTACTTTTGGATTATCGGGATAATCGGTAATCTTTGAGATGAATGAAGATCATGGTAATTAAGATTTATTTTGTGTTTTCGTTGTTAATTGTTACCTTAATTGTGAAGATTTTTTTTTCTATTCGTTGATCAGAAAATTGGGAAATTTTTCATCACTTGATTAGAATCACAATTAATTTCGTAACAATTTGATTTAATTGTTGTAATAGAGGAAGGAAAAAAAGTTTTGTCGTTACAATGATAAAAATCAACAATTGATTAACATAACAATTAACTTTACCCTTGACCTTGATTAAAGTGAATTAAATTGGAAAACTTGAAACAAAGAAAAGGTTTGTAACCATAAAGTGATTTAAATTGTTGTAATAATAATAGCAAACAATTAAGACTATTACATGTCTGATTCCAATGATGATAAGTTGCTGTTGTTAACTAATTGTTGGAGTTGATTTGATTAAGTTAATTATCTCGAGAGAGAGACCAGCAGAAAGGGTTAACAGGGAAAGAAAAAAGGTTAATTGTTGATAATTTAAACTACTAGTAAATAACAACAATCAACCAATTGTGTCTGTGTTTATGTTTCCAATTCAATCAAAAAAGGATCAAAGTGATTGGGAAAAAAATGATAAGCAATTTGTTGATCATTTTGGTTCAATGGTTTTCCTAATGGCTGATGCTTCCGGAATGATGAAGATAAAAGATGAAAATGATCATCATCTTAATCCTCATCATGATCAATATATATAAATGAAATTCTCATCATCTTGGATAATCTTTCACCACAAATCTCGAGAAAAAAAATTGACAATTTTTGCTTCAATTGATTGCGAACGAGAAACTTTCAAATCACTGATCCGAACTTGAGATCAGAACTTTTGAAAAAGAACAAAAAAAATCATGATTGATTCAGTAGATCAGAGTTTCTAATTGTTTCTCTTATTTATCATTTAATTGTAGATTTATTTATATATATAGATGAAGAAACAATCAGGAGATTACAATTAAAATAAATTGTTTGCAGGAACCAGAAATTAAGATTAACCAGAATGATAATAATAACAAAGAGATTAACAATCAAGACTTACCTTTTCCGATTCTCATGATTAACATACAGTTACAATCAAGACAACAATCGTTAGTTAGTTAATTAGTTAACAAGTTATTCCTCTTAATTATATATAAATATGATTGTTTGTATATTCCGAGTGTTCAGAATAATCAGAATTAATTATCATGGAAAAAAAATAAATGATTTTCGACTTGAAAGATTAGATTATCTTGTGAAATCTTTTAAATCTAATGTTAACCTAACCCTTGTTGAGTTAATTGTTGTTGATGATAATCCGTTATAAACAATAATCATCTTCCATGATGATTAACAATTAAAACTATTCCATAATCATGATGAACTTTACCTGAGAATTGGGTTAAACTTAGTAATCTCTCTGGGTCAAAACAATTAATTTAATCACTGCAACGATTAACAAACAAACTCCTAAACTTAGCTGATACAAACAATTAGTTGATTGTCTCCGAATAACAATAATAATAAGTTAACATAAAATTAATACAAAATCAATTGGTTGACAAGATTTAAACTGATTCCATGTTGTTGATAATCAAATTAACTAATTGTTGTAACTTTTTCTCATTTTCAGCTGATGATATTTGCCAAGATCAACAAGTTTATGATTATGCTAAATTGGGTTTACCATTAAACAAGATTGCCAAGTTTGTTGAAGTTAATTATTATCCTGACAAAGAGCTACTGGTAAGTAATTAATTAATCATTAACACAATTAACCTCTAAAAGAAAACACTTATCAATTAATCATCATTAACAACTTGACAAACAATAACAACAATTAGCACCCACTCAATGTAAACATAGCACAAGAATATGAAATCTTATTGATTATTGTGATTATCACCTTAATCATGATAATTATTATTATTAAATTTGATTATTGGTTAACCAGATAGGAATGAAATTAAATTTTGAGATGGCCAAAAGTTTTAACAATCAACTTTGTTCAAGTTTGATTGTTACAACATTTTCATGAGGTTGAATACAAAAAATTCATAACAAAATCGTAAAACCATTTAACAGAAAAAAAAATGATTTCATATTTTTCCTGATTCAACAATTTAAACCATCACCATTAAAGGTTTACAACAATCAGATTTAATTCTTGGTATATTAAAGTTTGTTAAAAAAAGAAATCATCTTTCAGCAATCAGTTAACAACAATCAACGGCATTTGCTTTATCCATAAGTTGATATCGCTTTTAACAAAATATATATCATTGAAAATTGAACATAATGACCGGTACTAAATTGACCTTATAAAAAGGTACACAGGTAGATGATGATGAGAGAGAAAGAGAGAGAGAGAGTCCGATTTGCTTCCGTGTTTCCAATAATATCAGCGTAACCCCTTCATGTAATAATGACCCATACAAGAGAGATGAAGACAAATGATGAAGATGATGAGGATGATCAATTAAAGTCCATTTCTTGTTGATGTGAGGGAGAAAATAATCATTCTCTATCATTAGAACTTTTTAGAACTTTTTTTTTGCTCCTTCACCTTAATCTATTTCTCTCTCTCTCTCTCTAATCAATATCCGATAATCGTTATTATATTAACCATTATCATCATCATTATCATGTTAATCATCATTAAAAATTATTATTTTCTATTAAATTTAAGTGAATTAACTGGTTTAGTTTTTAATTCCTTAATCATTAACAATCATGATTAGATTTTTGTTACACAATTAAATTTCATGATGAATATTTTAAATTGAGTTTGAATCTGTTTTTTTTTTCAAGGTCAATGATGACAATCATCATAATAGTAATAGTAATCTCAATCATCAGATGATCAATTTAGTTTTATCAATTGTAACAAGGAAGAGATTAATTATCATGCTGATTTTGTTTACTACTCACTGATTACAGTAATCATATTGGGGAAAAAATAACAATTAAAATTATGATTAACTTATATGTAAAATTGTTAGTTAATTGTTGAGGATTAGTTTGTTTTTCTGCATAATCATAATTACCTTTTCAACTAAATTAGTCTTCTAGCATCTCAATTAACTCAATTGTTGATCTCAACCGGTCAGGTAATTTAATCCCATTCATGATAATCAAATATTACAATTCAAATTTCTAGCTACTTATCCAGCTAATTTTAATTGTTGATGTTGAAACTTTTTAATTTAGTTGAAAACATGATCATAATCAAATCAAGTTAATATTCAATCATCAATATTTACATAAAAGATTAGCTTAATTTCCTGATTATAATCTTGATTGTGATACAAACCAACCAACCAACTAACAATTAACTTTCACTCATCTAAACAGTTATGAATTAGAATCACAATTAATTGATTGTGATAACAAATTAACACATGATAATCATCATTTTCATAAACTGTCAATAGATCAACTTGATAAGTCAATCATGATTAACTTTTCTATCAACTAATCAGCTCTTTAATCCGATAAAACTTTGATTGTTTCGATTAAAAAAAAATTCTCTCTCTATTTTAATCCAACAGGTAAAATCTCAAAGTGGTTGTATTCGGGCTTGTGCCATTGAAAATGAATTCATCTGTCGGTCAATCTTATATCGTCCATCATTTGAAAAGGGTCAACCTAATTGTGCCCTTTACCATCTTGACCATAAAACCTTTCCCGATGGATCGGAAACCTTTTCAACGGCCTCACTTCCGTTATTTGATTCCGGTGAAACAAGTGCCGTTTATCTGGAAGCCTCATGTACAAGTAAGTTGAATATTCATCATTATCTCATCATCATCATCATCATCATCTCACCCCCACTTCAAACTGACACTTCCACTTTGATGTGTATCAGTATCATTATCCTTTCAATGATAAACACTTTGAATAAGTAACACGATAACACGTATATTATTTACACTGTGTTACCTGGACTCTGCCTTGAGGCTATTATTATCTCATCATTTTATTTTGATTTTTCGTCATCATTATCATCAGAATTGTTTCAATCTTTTTCTTTTACTCAGTGAAAATGCCGAGAAAACAAGTCTCCAGGTGAATTAAGACCATTATTATCATCTTAGATTCTTGTTCATTATCTTCATCATCATGTTACCTGTTCAAAGAGATGAAGACAATTACCTGTATATTTAGGAGGAGAAATAAGATGAGAAAAATTTATTTGATTCTTTTAACACGCATTGCGGAAATTGAAATGAATTTTTCATGTAAAATTCATTGAAATATTAACACAGAATTTAGATTATATGAAAGAAGATACAAAAATTTTCTATCGATTCAATTCTTAAGAATCGCCATGAAATGGACCATCAGAGTGGTCAAGTATCGGTCATAATGTGAAGTACTTCAGTTGAGTAAACTGAAAGTAAATGTGATGATATTGGTTCGTTCAGGGGATCATTGAAATGATCATCATATCGTTGGCACTTCCTCATTGGATTTGCAAGAATTGATTCAGAAAACACCAAAAAAAGAAATCCAAATGAGGTGGAAGTGGAAAAAAAATGAGGATGAGAAAAGTTTTCTCTCTCTCTCTCTCTTTCTTTCTTTCTTTCTTTTTTTCTTTCTCTTGACTTACTAATTGGTTTCTTGTTTATTATTATTTTGATTGATTGTGATTCTTTCAGATGATTCAACACCAGTACCACCCCCACCACCACCTCCACCCTCTTCATCCGGTCCAATGCATCAACAAACAACTACACTCAATGGTAAACCTTCAGTTATACCCGCCTCCACACAACCACCAATATCATCAACACTTCCGGTTCGTGATGAAACCAAAATGGATCCATCCTGTGATGCCCTCGGGGTTTGTTACGATGTTACCCTTAAATGTACCGATACAAGGATAATGGTCAATGTAAAGACATCTCGACCCTTTCATGGTCGCATCTATGCCCTTGGACGAAGTGAAACTTGTAATGCTCACATAAGAAATAGTCAACAATTTCAACTGGACATGTCACTGGTTGGTCAAGATTGTAACACCCAATCATTGGTAAGCTAATTGATATCCAATTCAATTGTAAAAGAAAAACAAAAATCAAAACAACTAAACCAAACTTCAATCACTCATAGTGAACAAATTAATCTGAGTCTTATAAAATCATCTCAATATCATGGAGAAATTTTCAAACTCAATCCTTGACCAGTTAATCTTATCATCTTGTTAATCATCAACTAATCTCACTATCAGTGAAGATTAACTCTCTTAATCTTATTCCCATATAATCTGATCAATGTTGGGCCTTTTCTTTTCACCATATTACCTGAATTCATCATCTTCATCCTACTTTACCTCCTCCATACAAATATTTCTCTCTCAAACATTATCATTACCATTATCATTCTTATCTTCATCATCATCTCTCTCTCTCTCTCTCTTGTTATCCCTTTTTGTTAAATATCAAGTTTTCAATTCATACCTTTTAAATAGTAACCTGCCAATACCATTCATTTGAAATCTTGATGAATGACCACTTAATCTTATCACCTCCCCTCTTCTCTCTCTCTCAGTCTCTCTCTCTCTTACTTTCTTTCTCTCTCAGAAAGATGACCTAATGCCCTCTTCCTTTCCTCTTCTATGTGATCCCTTAACCAATTCTCAGGTACCAGTTGATACAACAACTTCCTGCCACAATTAACAGCAAATCGTATTGTTTAAAGATTAACCATCAATAACTCATCATCATTATCATCCTACTTGGAACATTAATTTTACTCTCTGACCATTCATATTGATAGAGTAGCTTTTTGTTATTGTAGTTGTTCATTACATGATGTGAATATCAAATGAATCGGAAAAGAAATGAGTAAAAATTGATAAATCATGATAATCAAGGCAAAGAGGGAAATTAAGAATTCAAATTACTCACCATTATAGCGACAATTAACACTGAACAATTTACGATCTCTCAAGAAACAAATCAATCGTAGGATAAATTTTCCGATAGAAATTCAAATAAATCTCTTGTATAAACTGGTCACTTATTCATTGAATATTTTGAATAAATGGTCAAGTCTCTCTCTCTCTCTCTCTATTGGTCAAGTTATATTGTTGAATTTCATGATTGAATAATCTTCATGTTCACTAACCTGACTACCCGATGAACCAATAGCCCAACAATAATAACAATATACAAACAGTACAATTGATATGAAATTGAAGTGAAGGAGGAAAATAAATAACAAACTGATCGTTATCATGAATTGGTCAACTATTAATATTTTTCTGATTTCTGATTCTATTACTTTATCCACACTAATCCCTTTGTTATCCTTTTATTATTATCATTTGACCATTTCTATTATAATATGTGTTAATTTATATACTCTCATAATCAAAGATACAATTGTTATCATACAACAGACAAGATTTACTAACATAAACTGGACAATAAGTTGACCATTACCTTTACCATACCTTTCATGATTATTGTGTCTGTATATCAAATTTACTTAGCTCAGTAATTTTGTCCCATTTTTTTACCGTTATAATCGTAAGGTCATCATGTTATTTATGATAAAGTCGGATGATGATGATGATGATGATGCTACTGTTGTTATACCTGTTGATTATGATGACTTCCTTGTTGTTGATTATATCACATCAACAATAGACTTTGTCATGACAATTGTTTTCTTAACCCACTACCGGATAATTAGCTTACTCTAATTGAGATAATTAATTTCTACCTTGACATTGATCTTTAACAAAATGACCATTTCCTACTTTTTCTTAATTCTTAATGAGTTTCTGGTCTCTTGGACTTACGATTAATTAAATTATCATCTATCTCTCTTTTATCTTAATAATAATCGGCTAATTTTGTGTCTTAATTTACCTCTTTTACCGTAACAAATTGTTTCTCACTAATTAAAACAACCTCATCTACAAGTTGATCTTTCGTTGAATTACAATTAACTTACTATTGGAGTTCTGGTTTATTCTTGTTTCTTGTTTTCTATTGTCTTAATCATCTTCTCATGATTTGATAATTGATTGTTATTCTTAATCTTTTCTTAATTGTTACAATTTACAGTCTGGTGTTTATACTAATACTGTTGTCCTTCAACACCATAACGTTGTCCTTACCAAAGCGGATAAAGTTTACCATGTAAGGTGTACCTATGAAACTACATCGAGAAATGTTTCATTCGGAATGATGCCCGTCAGGTAATTAGGTTAATTGTCCATTAATTAGATTCAATTAGTAATTTGATTTCATCTTTTGTCAAACAGAGATCCTGATACTTTGCAAATCACTTCATCGCCTGAAGCTCCGTTACCTAAGATTTTAATCTATGGGTCAGATGGACGAGAAGCTTCAACTGTCCGAATCGGTGATCGATTGACCTTTAGAATTCAAATTCCCGAGTCAACACCTTACGGTATTTTCGCTCGTTCTTGTGTTGCAATGGCCAAAGATGCTCGAAGTACCTTTGAGATAATCGATGACCACGGGTAAGAAGAAAAAAACAAACGACAAAACAACAATAAGTGACCATTGAAACTTGACCAATATCTCTTACAATCTTTATTATTATTATTATTATTATTATTCCTTAAGGTGTCCTGTTGATAATTCAATTTTCCCAAGTTTCATGGAAAACGGAAATGCTCTTGAAAGTAACTACGAAGCCTTCCGGTTCACTGAATCTTATGGTGTAATCTTTCAATGTAACGTTAAATATTGTATCGGAAAATGTGAACCAGTAAGTTGTTAACAGTTAATTTAAATCACCTAATACAATTTGCTTAATCAATTAACTATCTCTCACCTTTTTTCCCATGTGATTATCATTAATCTGTAATAATAATAACATTATTCATGGGAAAATGAATATTACCTTCACCCTGACAATCAATTATCATTCATAATTTCAATACAACTTTTAACCTGCAAACATTTAACATGATGATGATTATAATTATCACCAATTCCCACCATGTTAACAGTTAATTCATGATATTATTTACCTGTGAACTGTTGTCCTAATGATGGTACTTTCTTTGTTTACCCTAAGGTTATTTGTACTGCTGGAAGGGAAGAGATCACTTCATGGGGACGAAAACGTCGATCAGCCCATTATGAGACCGACGATGAGATGACCTTAAGTCGAGAGATTTTAGTTCTCGATTTCAATGATGCCGATGCCGCTCGATCAACAATGGATCCATTAAATGCCAATGGTAAATGATAACTCTCTCTCTCTCTCAAATATTATTCAACAATTTCGATATTTTTCTTAGAACTTTTTTCTAACTTTTCGAAACTCTTTTCTTCCATAGAATCATTTTCTAGGGAATCAATTATCTCAATGGATCGATGTGCATCTCGAACCTCATTGATGGCCTTAAGTGTAATTAGTGCTCTACTTTTAGTTATGTACGTTTGTACTGTTGCTTATTTCACTGCACACCGGCGGATGAAATTACCCACCAAAGTTACCCTTCGATGAGAATTAATTTAGTTCAATTATAAAGCCTGTTCCATGTTTTTGTTGATCATCATCACCATTTCACCAGCGAAAACACCACAACCTCATCATTCACCATTCATCATTCATCATGAGACCAATTGATTCATTTAAATTAAATGCAAATTTACCTTAATTACTAATGGATAGTAAGTTATATCTCTCTAAAAAGGAAGCAAACAAAAAGATACATTTGTCCAAAAACTGACCACTCACAAATCCCCACCGTCACTAATATCCCACCTTTGGTGTTTCCATTGATTTTTATATATATTTGATTATACATGATTTAGTTAATTGCTCATCATCTTTACCCACCTTAGTATAATAGAGTAACAATTTGATTACATACAATTTGATGAAAGGGAACAAAAAAAAAAGTTTAATTGAAATTTTTCATCTCTTAATTGTTTTAATTAACATGCAAACTACTCAAACCCACCTAACCAATTATTCAATTGATGTAATCAAATCAAATTTCTTACTCTTTTACACTCTACTCATTATTTACCATTATCACCTTGACCTTATCGAGGATGAACTGACCCCCACCGTGTGTTTATATATATAAAAAACAATGGACTGACCACAAGTCAAAAGGCAAATGAGTCTTTGTGATATTATTTATTGCTTTCTTTTTCTCATCTTCTTATCTTCTTCTCTTTCTCTCTCTCTCATGATGACAATTTTAATCAACTACTGATTCTCATCCTTTTTGTATTCCATCCAATTCTGTCTTCAATTCTTTGGGAACTCTCTCTCTCTCTCTCTCTCTCTCTCTCTCTCTCTCTCTCTCTGTTTCATCATCATCTTCTTCTACCTGTTGCCCTCCACCACCTTCATCCTCTTCCTCATCTTTGTTTCCTTTCACCATCCAAGTGAAGATGAAATCAGTTCCTCTTTCATTTCAAAAGTTTACCTGGTCATGCATTACTCATGGTAATCGAATTTGCATTTATGAACTTTTTGCCCTTGATTTTGATTCTTTTAAATTATATAAATCAAACCAACAGAAAAGAAAAATATAATAATAAATTACTATCATTATCTTTAATCATCATCATCATGTAATGATTAACACCCACAAGTCATGGTAGAGATGAGGATGGAGAGAGAGAGAAGAAGAAGAAGAAAAAAAATTGAACAGAATTTAATTCCAATATTTATCTTGACCACTCAAGTAAAAGGCTAATTCAAGTTACTATTATCATCTGAATCTTGACCACTACAATTATGGGTCAAACTTTTGAATTGGGTAACCAGATAATTTCAATTCCCCCACCAACAACCACCTTAATTGTTACATTTGATTACAAATTCTGGCAATTTAATCAAAAGTTGATTATGATGATGATGATGATGAAAACAATTTGATTTCAATTTTGTCTCTTAACAATTTGTTTTTTAATTGTTCTAATCGTTTTTTTTGATTGTAAACAATTAAATTATCCTCCCTTTCCTCTTACCTATCTGTAAATGATTAAACAATTATTGATTAATTGAAATAATTTGAAATCAAATTTAAGTCCCAGAAACAATAATTACTAATTTATTGATTACTAGTAATAAATTACAATCATTATAATGTTTTAATCATCATCAATCAGTTAATTGTGAACAATTTTCTTACTCCCTTAACCTTTTACTTAAAATCAAATTTCATTAATTCATCAAATTATAATCATTTGATCATTTTCACCTGTTTAACTTTTAACCATTATAATTAAAATTGTCATCATCAATTTGGATCAATTGATTAAAATTAACAATTTCTAAACTTTGAAAGTTTAGATTCAAAGTAATTAGAGCACTTTTCTTGGTGCTTATCCCACCTCCTCTAATCACCCTCACACTAATTGTGAGATGAATGGTTGTAAAACTTTAATTTTTTTATTGTTCATCAACACAATCAACAAATTAATTTATTTTCAAATTTAATTACAATAAAAATTCAATCTGTATATGCATTCAATTAATTGTCTACCACTGTAACTATCCTACTCTCAGAGTCAAGAGTATCAAATTTACCAATAGTACACAAATTACCCTCTTAATTAGCACCTAAAGGTTAATTTTGGTTTAGATAGTCAAATAAATTAACAATTACAATTAAAAAAACTCGAAAATTTAGAGAATTAATCGAACGCCATCTATACGAAACCGAAGAAACTAACGTAACCCTTTTCTTTTCTAATTTTTTGAACATTAATTTTAATTTGGTTTCTATTAATTTAATTTTTCTACTTAATTGATTTTCTATTTTTTAATTGTTGTTTATCTTTTAATTAGATGTTTAAAGTTAATTAATTTCTCTCCTTTTTTTCCATTACCAATGTTTCTCGTGTTCTCTTCCAATGTTATCTAATCAATTCTTCAACATTAGTTGGTTTCTTTTCTCATGGTTATTACTCTGTAATTACATTTTCTTCTTAATTTTTTTGTTCTCTTCTCTTCAATGGATTCAATTGATTAACATTTGATTTCTCTGGGTTGTAATTTAATCCTGAGAAAATTAAGATTGATTCCTGTTGGTGAAAAACTGGATTCATTTTAATAAACCAAGACGGACACAATTCCATGGCTTCATTTGCCCGCTCTCCTCCTATATAAATGTCTCTACCTCTCTCACTCTTGACCACCACCAAGGATTGGACCGGATCTTTGGAATATAATTTTCAAATGCACTATGTCAGTTAATTAATTTGATGGACATTGACACCGATTCACACATCACAAGTTGGAGGATGAACAAGCGAAAAAAAAGAGAGAAGAGAACAAAAAAAAACGGAATGAGAAGCCTCAACAAATACCCACCATTAAAATGGCACCAATTTGGTTTCTCTTGATTATCTTAGCCCATGTTTCAACCTGTTACACTTTAATGGAGTAAATTCTGGTGGCATTGACTTACTGGAGGAATATAACTGGTGAAGGAAAAAAAAAGCCAAAATCAATTCCAATAAAATGATTTTCTTCACTGGGGTAATCAATTGAAAAACCTTTAAAAGACCCACAAAAATATTACCTGATGAACAGCGACAATGTTGTGTGAAACAAGATGTCAAATTTTCATGGCAATTTCATTATGGTCAAGTGATTTTAACAATAACTCTGTTGACCTGAACAAGCTGGAAATTGATTCATTCCATTATTCCAATTTTATCAATCAACTGGATGATTAGATATTAAACCAAATCAAGAATATGAATAGATGAAATTACATCTTTTTCCATCCATTGATCATCATCATGTTTAGAATGTAATATTTACCTTCTATTTACAATCAACATGCACCATTTATATGTTACATTCATTTGGATACTAATACAATTGGCAACTGATGGACAAGAGAGAAACTGCAAATCCTAATCAATTAACTGTAACAATTCAATTGATTGCCTCAATAGAAACATCATCATCACTATCACCCATCAACAACAACAACAACAACAACAAAACATCGAAACCAGAATCAGCAAACCTTATAAACAAAACCTGACGGAAGTCACCAATTATTATCATTCACCATAACCTTCATTACCAACATTAAATTTATTCACCATAATTATCATGAAAAAAGTACAATTTTTGGTTCAGTTGGATTTCAACACCATCAACAATAAGAAGACCTTAAGAGAGATTATTTTTCTTGCTTTCATCTAGTGCAAGGAAAAATGTTGATGATAAATTGAACCTGAAGAAGTGAAAGGTCAACGGTTAACATATAAAAGCTCCAATGGTCAGCATTTAATTTGGTTATCATCATATTCAGGCAACAAATCAAATGAAGACAAGGAATGACAATGAGACTCTGGTGATGTGCTGATGGATATGATTAGGATGAGGATGAGAAGTGAAAATCATTTGACCATCAATCCACGGGTCAATTGATATAAAAACGAGTTTTCAAGAGAAAAGAACTTTTTTTCTCTTTCTTTTGGTTAGTTTCAAGCTTCGTTGTCACTTCACCAGAATTTTTTTTCTCTCTCTCTCTCTCTTTTCTCACAATCAATTGAACGGTTTACTGGTTGATTGTTGATTATTTATGAACTTTTACTGAGGAATCAGATTGAGAAAAACTCTCACAGACCTGACGGAAACGTCAACATTTTTCTGTTGACGAATTGGTAAATCATCATTCAGCTAATTGTTAAACAACTAAATCAGTGATATTTATTTAATTATACAGATAATCAATCAGATGATCCAGACCAGAGGAAATAAGAAATGCCAACAATAGGACTTAATCCAGTTCAATTAATATGTAAACAGGAAGACAACCATTGGTCCATAAGCGTTTATTTCCTTAAATCATCAGCAGATGAAAAAATTGATTAACAATTTAAATTTGATGTGAAAATTATGTCATTTTAATCATCATTTGTCTCCTAATTGTTAATTTATGTTTAAGACAATACCAAGATTGACAGGAATTAACTTGATCCGTTAACAATTAACTGATAACTCAACACACACAATTAATTGATATTTAACTGTTAATATTATAACAACATGATACCAATTTAATTGTTTGGTATTTCACTTAAATCAAGTTATTAATTGAAGTTAATCAAGTGTCAATGAACTAACCATTTAATTGACCAATGGTTAACCTTTTAGTTTTTCCTAATGATTTTTTCTTAATCATTTATATAAATCAAAACATTTATTTACTATTTTTGTTTACAATTAACTGTCTACCACCACAATAACAATAACAATTAACTTCCTGGTTTCAATTGTTAAGATGTTACCGTTATGAATTTTGTTAATTTGTTTTTGTTTCTATTTTTCCTGGTTAGTAAATTGTTACAATTAACCCATTTAAATGTAACATTGATTTGATTAGTTTACTTTTCTTGTCTAACAACAAACCCAATTAACAGGCAATGGTTAAAACAATTAAGACTTTTAATTAGACATTTAAAATTGATGATAAGTTAATTTGATTAACAATTAGCTTTGGATTTACAGGTTTGGATTGATGGAGGAAAATAAATTGTTAAATTTGTGGGAGAAATTTAAAGTTAATTGTGAAGAAAATTAATTGTTCCATTTTGGTTTTATCACAATGGATTTTGTATTCTCGTAATTTAATCATAATGATGACATTTTCTGTTAATTAATAAAAACAATTTTTGGTCTTTTAGTTAACGTTTACTAATTGGGGAACTTAATTGTAACAATATAATAATATGATATTAATAACAACCATTGTTTGGATCACCTTTTTGTGGGGACAATCAGTAAATTGTCACTGATTGTTTGATACACTCGTTAATTTAGTTGATAAATTTAAGACATTAAGTTAACATGTAATAATTTAAGTAAAAGATGTTAAATGTTGTGACAATTAGTGGAAGGAAAATCAATGGAAATTATTGTAAAATATTAATTAGCAACAATTTAACTTCGATCTCTGTTTAAATCATTTCATCAGTTTCTCTATTCTTCTATTACTATTGATAAATTGTTCAATTAACTGGGAATTCATTTTTTGATTGGTTTTCTGATTAACATGAAGAAATTTGATATAACAAAATTCAATGGAATAATTTTTTTTCTGTACAATTAAAATGAATCTCTGATTGTTAACAAGGATTAAACTTCATTAGATAATCAGGTTGGCCTTTCATTCCCATTAATTGAGATTTTCATCAATAATAATAACATTATTTACTAAATTAACTGTTAAATTGAAATAATTGATTGACAGTTAATTGTTGGTTGATTAAAATGGGTACAAATTAGGGATTAGGTTAATAGGGAAGTTGAGTTTCTTTACCATTGTTTTGATTGTTTACTTTTTGATTTGTTTTTCTTTTTCTTTGGTTAATTTTTGATTAATTAGGTTAATGTGCTGTTAGTGAATTAACAATCTGCGAATATTATTGTTAATTGATTAACTATCGATGATATTTTGTTCTGTGTATCGGTTAATTGTGACCAATAGAGATTTACTTTGCCTCTTCTCGAAAAACACTGAGTTTAAATTGAAGAGAAAATCAAATCAAAAGGTAAATCGTTTCAAATTAGTGAATTAAAGTTGTTAATTGTGAAGAATTAAGTGTAGAGATTAAGGAAAAGGTGAACATGATGCGAAATTTTCACAATTAGAATTTGCATATTTACCATTAAATTAGATTCTCTTTTTTGTTTCCATCATTCCTTTTACACCTTAAACACAATTAAATTCAAAAATTTAATCCACACAATTATAGGATATTCATTTTGAATAATATATTCAATTACATTCCATGGTGATGACTATGCAATCAAATTAACTTAATGGCAACACTTAACCTTCACCAACAATCAAAAAGGGATAATCTTCATCACTAAGAACAATTGAATATCTCTAAGCAAGAGAGAGAGAAAATTATGTATTAACAGAGGAAAAAGATTGGAGAGACAAAGAGATGACCAATTTCACTTAATTAACTTGATGGTGGAATTTATGTGATTTGAACGTGACGATTGATTGGAATATATTTCAATCATTTTTTATCCTTTGTTTCTGATCCATTGGTAATTACTGAGGGCGATGAAACTGGAGTAATGTCATCTTGGAATAAAGGATTTTTAACTTCCATCTCTCCGGTGGAAGCTAATCCGGGACACTCATAAACAGTATAATCTCCTTCCTCATTTTCTTCCTCTGAGTCAACATCCGATGCCGAAGTGTGTCGAGAAGTAGTAACTCTAAAAAAAGAAAAAAAAATAGAATAATAAATGAATAATTCAAATGAGAATCAATAAAAATGCGATTAATCAAAAATTCAAAATGGAAAAGAAATAAAAGGAATGAAAAAAACAAAAGAATAGAATTTATGCTTTTTCTTGTTGCCTAGCAACCATTATGCTAACGAATTTATGCTAATTCATATTCTCTTTCCACTTGTTAATCCTTTCGATGTGATTGTTGTTTGATTGTTTCTAATTGTTGATTAATTTTGGTTTTCTTTTTCTTTTTGCTAATTGATTTGAACGTTAATTTTGTTACTTTGATGTTCCCATTTCGACCTGTTTGTTTTTGACATTTTGCTTTTCTCTTTTGGTGATGATTAAAATGGTTTCACTTTGGGAAATTGTTGATCACTTACTTTTCAGAGGCAATCATTTGCTGCTTTTGGTGATGATAATGGTACATTTGAGCACTTTGGGCTAATTTCCGATCACCTATCGGTGAAAGATTACCTGGATTACTAGTTTCCTTTGTTATCGGACCAACAACACCATAAGCTGGATAATCAACATCAGCGGCTGATTTATTGTGCTGTTGGAATCTATAGAAACAATAACCAGCACTGACCACAGCAAATATGGCGAGACCACTTGACCCAACCACGATTGCTGATTGTTACCAAGGAGAAAGAGAAAATTAATTTAACCAGTTAATACTCACTAGATAAAGTATCTAAATGGAAATGTAGAATACAAGTGTCATTGAGCCTCTTTGATTTACTCACCTACAAAGTAGAGATCACTGAATGATGATGATGATACTGAATTTCTATTACCATGATTAAAGGATCGATATTGGACCATTGGACTACCTTCATGAGCAGATTCACTTTCTATTTTCTTGTTGGCATAATGTATCTGATGATGTACCGATGAGGAAGGTGATGATGATGTTGACACCGAAGATGCTGATCTTGATAAAACCTCTTCTCCTAAAAGTGATTCAGGAGAACCCAAATTGACCCTTAGCTTATTTGATTGTGAATTTGGTACAACTGAACTTGGAATAATTATCTGGGAATCTAAAGTCTTCTCAGTTGTCTCATGGTCTTCCCTGTTGACACTTGTAAGTTCAGTTAATGGATTATGTTGGTAATTACCAGTTAACCTACGAAAAGAATGATGATAAAACGAAATCAAATCCATGTCCATGAATCATTGAAATGAAGAAAGAACCAGCAAGTCATCAGATTACATCGGAAATGTATCACTTTCTATATACACTATTCATCTCAAGCTAAGAATAACTTCATCTTTAATTTAATCTTCCCAAGTATCAAGTTAACTGTTCGAATAGAGAAAATCAATTTTTCTTTACCTTCCTGATTAATACAAAAACATTTCCGGTTCAAAAGAAAGAATACATTTCGTAAACAAACAAATAGGAAAGAAAAAAAAATTCTTTTCTTATATCAAATACTTTTTACATGGATAACTCATCGTATCATTAAATCGTCTCTCTCACAACTGTAACTGTCTCATGGATTATCGTCACCTAATCCATTTTAATCCTGTCACATTTCAAGTTCTCGGAAAATTTCCTAATCCACATCCAAGAGTTACAATTAATCTTGTTAAGTTGGAGTTTAATTTGATTCACAACACCCACTACTCAATTCATCATGAAAATCACATCGAATCAACAAAAAAAATCCTCATATAATTGAAGAATTTGATTGATTTCAATTGATCTAATTTTCTGATACTAAATTGTTTCAATTCAATTGATTCAATGGAAATCATATTAATAATCAATTGAGTTTATTTACTTTTTTAAAATGTAAATTTCTCAAAATAAATCAGAACAATTTCCAATAATGTTCAAAGATCACAGTTTATTAGATGATCTTAATTTAGATCAAAACAATCAAACTGATTAGTCTAAATTTAAATCTTGAAAAATTACATTATCAAAATTTCATTTAAATTGTAAATTTTTCATCTCAATTTTTTGGGTGATTTAATTATTCAGTTAATCAAATTGAGTTGAAGTTTATATTTACAATTTAAGAAACAAAATGAATCAATGATTAAAATGATCTAGTTAATTAATATTATGTATTCGCAATTAACTTTAACTAAATCAAGAAATCGAAACATTTTCGCATCAATGTGGTGAATCAAATCAACTAATTCTATCCAAAGTAATTTACTAATATTAACAATCAGATAATCAAATGTTTACTTTAATCAAGTTGATCAAAAGTTGCTGAAGATTTAACTCTAACCAATGTTTACTTAATTGTGAATAATTAAGGTAAATTTGATTAATAAATTGTCAAAGAAAATAATTGATTCTAATCAGTTACAATCAGTTAATCTCGCTGATTAATCAATTCATTTCCAATAGTAAACAACTTAATTAGCTGTCAAGTTGATGACTTTTAATTGGTAATTAGATTAAAATTTTGTTAATCAACATAATTAAATTGTCATTCTGTTCAATTGATTGTAAACATGCAACATTCAATTTGTCACAATTAACATTTACTATGGTCAAGGTTAATTGTTATTTCCTTATTTCAACCAAAGATAATTAACTTTTCCTTAATCATCTTAAGCAACTAATTAATCAGATTAACATGTTAATCTAATCGAAAACTTTTCAACAATTAAGAAGAGATTAACTTTAATTACACCAATTAAAATGTTCGACTATCACCTTATTATTATTAAGAAGATTAATTGTTAATGAATAAACTATAAATTCGGTTGATTATCATGATCGATAATTAAAAGAATCGTTGAACCGAATTTAATTTTCTCATATTCTCAAATTCTGGAATCCTCATTGTTTTATTTTCCAAAGATTCTGTTAATTGTTGAGCTTTAATTAGAGATTGAAATTGAAACTATTATTCCAATTTAATTGTCAATTAGCTAATTGTAATATTAATAATCCAGAGGAGGAAAATATTTCCATCACTAGTTAATTATATTGTTCAATGAGCAATTAGTTAATCAACTGTTAAACTTGAATGTTGAATAATATTCAGTAAATTGAATGAGAAAATTTGATTTTATAATATTGACAATTTAGGTAATTGAATTTATGTAACTAGTGATTAAATAACCAACGAGATTTTGATTGGACAAATTGTACTTAATTGTAACCAAATGAATTGAAATTATAGTTACATCTGAATTAAATTTTAAGATAAATTGTAATAATTACCTTGATTGTTGGTCTAAATTTTCACCTTGATTGTTGTTACCAATTGTTGAATCCAATTCATCTTCAGGTAAATCAGTTGTTTCCAAATGATTTTTATATCCATGATGATAATGATTAGTTTTAAAAGGTAATCTCCAATGATTAGTATGAATTAGTGGATTAATTGTTTGATGTCGTTGATTATTAATCAATGATGATAAAGGAGATGATGATAATCCATCATTGGAACTTGAATAATCTTTATATAAACCCTCAGGTTTAATTAATCTCCATCCTCCTGATGATGATAATGATGATGATCCATATAACCCTAATTAGAGAGAGAGAGAAAGATGAACCGATTCAATCAATCGAAATCAATAAATCAATTGATTGACAAACAACAACAATTTAAATTGTTGTTGTAGTGAAATTTGGGTTAACAGGAACCAGAAACTCAGGTAACCAGGAAACAAGGAAACGAAAACCTTAACAGTTTCAACGGATTTAGACAAAGAAACGAAAGGTAATTAAAGTTAATTGTGATAATTACCTGATGCTAGTCTCCTAAATCGTCCGTCAACACAAACACTGATGAAGAAAACAATTAAGTAAATTGTTAATTTCCACCTAAAAGACATTGCAATTAGCAAGGAAAAATTATAATACAAGAAAACAAGGTAATCGAAATCCTTATTTTCATCTACTTTTTAAATCCACTTTGAATTAGAAATGATTAACAATTAAAACAAATGAAACTCGAAACTTGAAAATGACAATTTAACTTGATTACTGAAGATGGATAACATAATTGTTACAATTAATTTCCACTGATCAAAAATGGAGAAAATAATTTTTACAGTTACAATTTTAATCGTTGACCATATTGATTGAGAATAGAAGTTGAAAAGAAAATTTTTTCTTCTCTCTTTTTTACTTACTTTCTCTCTTTCTTTTTATTCTTACATGATACTCTGTCTCTCATGCAACTGAATTGACGTCATGAATTCTTTGATAGTATTTCCAGACAGACTCAGAATTAGAACCAGAACTTTTCTCTCTTCTCATGAAAAGAGACACAACAGTAACAATAGAAAAAGGTTACAAGAGTAGAACTCGAATCGACTCAATGATGAAACTTCCTCGAAGCTTTTTCTTGTTATTCTAACCAGAATTATCTTAATCATCATCTTTTATCACCGAGATAATCATGAGCATGATTAAGATCAAACTGTTTATCGGTTCATCTTGAAAATCTAATTCCATCAATTCTGATCAGAACTTTTTCCTTGAAATCTGATTGATCGAGAGCAAGAAAAAAACGTGATTCCAATTTCTTGGATAATTAAAATTACCTGTTAATTGTTTCCAATTTAATTGTTGACCATTTAAATGTTACTCTCAAATTACAATTAATTTTGTCACATTTTTTCATCTTAAATCATGGTTTAAACATTTCCTGTACAATGACAATTAGTATCACTTATTGTTGTAACAATTAGCTGATTATCATGTGGTCAAGAGTAACAATTGTAACAATTAATTGTATTTCCACTCTTTCATATGATATTTCATCATTTAAGACAATTAACTAATCAAATGAACAATTAGACTTTCGACTAAAAATAACTCGCACTTTCGCAAATCAATTTATTTAAATTGTCCAAACAATTAACAAACTAGAAGTCAAATGATTTGATAATTATCGCGACAATTAGTCAGTAAATAATGAAACAATTAAATCAAGTGATATATTTAAATAATAAACAATGTTTATCATGATGATTAAATGATCGATAATTAGTTAATTGTGATTGAAGGGAAACAATCAAAATCCATATAAGTTTAAACAGTAACTCCAGGGGAAGGGGTTTAATTGTTAACAATTTACTTTGATTCACCTGAAAGGGGTTAACAATTTACTAATTGCAATTCTAGAATAGCCTAAATGATTAACCTGGAAACTTTTCAATGTTGATTGTCAACAATTGGCTTGGAATCAAAATTTTCTGGTTTAATTTTTTTCTCTCTTCATTTTTTGTCTCGATTCTTGTATGTTCATAATAACCAAACATAAGAAGCAACAACAACAACAACAATAGTATTTTTCTAATACTGAATTTCCTTGGGTTTACCTTAATTGTTTCAATTGTTTCTCAATTAGTAATTAATCTAATGGTTCAATTATGATTCGTGATCAAGAAGAAAGTGAAAAATATCTTAAAATCGCTCAAAAATATCTTCTTAATGACGATCAACGAAACGCTCTCAAGTATCTCTACAAATCTCAACAATCTTTCCCATCTTCTTATGTTAAAGGTTAGTAATGTTTTTCCAATTTCTTTTCTAAATTGTCTTACCTTTCTTTCCCCCCTTTTAATTGTTACAATCAACTAATTCAATTGTCTAAGATGTTACCTGTAATCTACTGGATTATCTTAATCCTTTACCTTTTATTAATCTTGTTATGATTTACTTTCAATTTCCTTTTCTGGTTTTGTTTACATTTTTGGGTTTCCCTTTTTATTTGTTTTCTTCCTGATTATTTGGTCATTTAATTGTTTAAATCTTGTTAAATGTTATTCCAACAATTAAATTAACATACTGTGAACCTTGTGAGATGATTAAAATGTTGATTTAATTACGATTGATTGATTAATAGCTTTGTGATTTACCTGAGAATCCATTTGTTATTGTTTTGTCATCTATTGAGACCTTCACATGTTATTAATACAATGGTGACAATCTTAGTCTTTGCTGTTTGAAATGTAAATGGTTAATTACTCTTAATTGTTGAGGTTTATCTTCTTAATTGTAGCTATTGTGACAATTAATAATCAACTGGTTTGATCGGTTGATACCCAATTGTAAGCCGGTTCCATATCCCAAACCCAAATGTAGACCAATGTATTGATCAGTGATTTTGTATTGTTTACTTTTCTAATTGTTATGTTTTGATCTTTGATTTTAATTAACAGGAATGATTGATAAAGTGGAACAATTAATCTCGGTATCAGAGGAAAATGGTCGATTTGAATCTAAACGAAACCAAAGGCAAACATGGCGATCTCAGGAAAAGGATTACAGTGACCATTACAATCAACAGCCAAGAAGACAGAGTAATTACTCAAGAGAAAGTAATCAATTTAATTGTGATGTTAAAAGTAATTATTGTTCTGATAATTGTGGAGATAATAACAACGATGATGGAGATGGTGGTATTAACGAGGATGATGATGGAGATGGTGATGATAACTGTAAAGGTAATAGAGATCAACTTGAAGCCATTGAAAAGATAACCAAGTGTAAAGATTATTATCAATTGTTGGGAATTAATCGTGAAACAAATGATCAAGAATTAAAGAAATCGTATCGTCGATTAGCATTACAATTTCATCCGGATAAAAATCAAACTCCAGGAGCTTCGGATGCTTTCAAAGCGATCAGTTCAGCTTTCGAGGTGCTCGGCGACCCTGAAAAAAGACGCATCTATGATATGACAGAATTTCAAAGATTAACCAAGCCCAATGTTAATCCATATGAGCCTTATGGTAGATATAATAATAATAATAACGCTCGATTTGGTACTGGTCAACAAATGGGTCCAGAAGATTTGTTTAACGTATTCTTTGGTAACTCTCATCCGTACGGGCTCACCACGAATGGACGAATCGTCGAGCCTCCCAATCAACCAGTGGAATCAGCGTTTTCCTTCAACTATTACCTGTGATCGTATTTATCATCATGTCTATCATGAGTTCCTTTCTTATTCGTGATCCAGTTTTCAGTTTATCTCGTAGCAAGTAAGTTCTAACAAAAAAAGTACTAATGGAACTTTTTTTCTCATCAAATCGGCGATTTTTTCTTTTAACTTTTTGGTTCTTCTTTCGTTCTTTTTCCCAGCAAATATCCACTTCTTCGAAAAACTTTGGACCTTAAGATTCCCTATTACGTGAAGGAAACTTTCGAACGAGATTATAAAGATCTACTGATCGCAATCGAGGAAGAGGTTAATCAAGATTTCACTCAGAATTTGAAGACTCGTTGTTTCAAGGAGCGAAATCATAGTGAGAATTGAACAATATAATATTAATCTGAGAATCTCTATTGATTTCTTTTTCTCTATTTGTTTTATAATCTTTTTCCAGAGGAAAATTTGATCTGGAAAGCGAAAAATATTGGTGACATCGCCTTCGAGGAGCAAGTTCGTAAAATGAAAACCCCTTCATGTACAGAGTATCAAGAGCTCCAGGAACGGATCCAAGATTCCACTTGATCGACGAAAAGTCCAAATTTCATCATTAAATCATCTCTTTTTTTGCCATTAATTTAATTCATTAATCTAGTCAAACTGATTCTTATTCTGGAATCATGATAAATACATTATATATTATTATTATTATTACTATTATATTGATGATTGTTTATAATAATTGAATTTGTTGATACTCATGATCCTATCGATTAGGTTTATGTACATTTCAGGTGTAGTTAATTGTCTCAATTAACAATCAATTATCCTCAAGGTTGATTAATCCAAGAAAAAAATGATCACTTAAATCAACAATTAAAACTGAAACTCTCTTACCTTTGAGATGGACAAATCAATTACTAGAGATTTAATTGTGTTCATTGAAATTTCCTAATTGAACACAATCTAAATGTAAATACAAATCATTTTTATTAATTTTCTTCTGGTTGATTGTGTCAATTGTTAATCGTATGATTTATTTGACTAATTGTTATTTATCAAGTTGTCATAATGAGAGAGTTAATTGTAATCAACTGTGATAATTTAATTTCTAAATTGTTCCCTACACAATAGACTTTAATCAACCATTTCGATTAATCTAAATTTTGATTTCTCTCACAATTAACAACAATCAATGATATCAAATTGACGTAAATAATAAAAGGTTAACCGTACCTTTGGAGGTGAAATTAAATTGTGATTAATTAGACCAATTAATCAATCGCCTTTGAAACAATATTTACTTGATTGAAAAAATGTCGTATTGGTTGTTGTTGTTAATTGAAGGCAGAAAAACAAAGATGATTAGACAAACAATTAACCATTTATCACAATTACCGATGGCCTGATAATTGGGTTACAATTAATTTGGTTTGATTAGATTTAATCAATTCACATCTTTCACTTATCTAGTTAACTTGATTGTTTAACCAATTTGGTTAGTTTATTTGTTTGGTTAAAAGTTTTACCAACTTTTTGTTACTCCGTTTGTTTGACCAGAGCGATAAACAAAGTGGCCTTCATCAGATATGATGAAACTCGGGCTACTATTGTTAATTGTTACCATTTCATTTGATTCAATTTGTGGGCAATTAATTGAATCAACTAGAAATGAAGATTCAATCTCATCTTCATCCCTTCATCTTCATCCGGTTCAACTAATCGATGGGAAAATAAAAGTCCAACTAAATCTGGTCTTAAAATTACCGATTATGTTCAGGTAAGTTTGAGGTCAATTTGAGTTAATTGTTCTGATTGACTGTGGTGTTTTTTTCCCAATTTCCAGAGGAACCGAATGAATATTTTGAAAGATGTTAATGTAACAGAGGAAATCGATGGCCAATCGACCCTAACGACAACAACACCGATCCCTGAACTTGACTTTTCCATGGCTACTTTCAATGCGACTTTCAATATAACATCAAATTCAAGTGCATCTGAATTTCAATTGAAAAGTTTAGATGAAGTTCTTGAACTGGCCGGACTTACCCGACTCGATGTTATCCCTTCGAGTGACCCTGGTAACTTTTTGATCAAAACAAGGACAAAAACCGGTACATGTCCAAAGGTAAGATACTAACATAATTAGATTTTCGTATGATTATCTTAATTGAATTTTATTAATACTTTTTCTCTTTGATAGTCTTCGACCAAGAAAAAATCCAAAAAGTCAAGTAAAAAGTCGAAAAAATCTTCGAAAAAATCAAAGAAGTCAAAGAAATCAAAGAAATCGAAAAAATCGAAGAAGAAGAAAAAGTCCAAGAAGAAGAAGAAATCATGTTGTTGCTGTTGTTAAAATCGTAATCAATTAAATGTTTACCTCTCGAATGTCCAAATGTTCAATTTATTTTCGTGTCAAAAAAGTTCTAATCAACTGAGAACAAAAGTTGTACCAACAATTTAAAGAGTTTCCATTTACTGGAACAGTTCAAACGAAACAATCAACTCCAATCAAAATGCTAATCAATCGACGAGTACAATTGATCATAACCAGAAATTAGTTAATTAAAATTAATCCAAAGTCAATCAATAGATGAAAAAGTTTTCGCTTTGGTTTCAATCTTAACCAATAGATGTCACTACTAGTCGAGAACAAAACTCAATTAAATCAACAATTATTAATAAATTGCAGAAAAGTAATCAAGTGATTAGCTAATTGTAATGGAATAGTATTAGAAATTAAGAAAAGAAATTAATAATCAAATTTTCGGTGTTTAAAGTAGAATTGTTAGTCTAGGTCACTTTCGATGAGAGTTCGACTTTTTCTCGATGAGAATCGGCAAGTACGAAAAAAGTTTGTTTCCAACTTTTTTTTCTCATTTAGTTTAATTAAATTTTGCTTTGAAGTTATTATCATATGATGAGGATAAAAAAGCTCCATTAAAAGATGAACCTTTTGAGTACATTAGCTAATTATTGATATCGATTTGATGATGAACTTGGTCTTTGGATGTTGAAGTTAATCTGAACAGTTCAAATGAAGAGATCAGATTACATGGTAACTATGAACATGAATAAAAATCGAATCCATTGGAATTATCGAAGAATCAAAAAGGCTTCGAAATGCGACTTAGAACTTTTCTTCTTTCTTGTATAATCGAATTGTAATTTCTTCTTTCCCATCTTCCCTTTATCATCTTCTCTCAATTTCTCATCTGTTGATTATGATTACATCTTAATTGTAATGATGATTAAGGTAAATATCAAATTACTATAATTACTAAATTATTTTTACAAGTACAAAAGTAATCATTTGTTTTCCAATCACTGATAATTGTTCCTTGAGTAATAAATATATTTAAAAGATAAACTTTTGTATCTTCTCAAAGTTAATCAACAATTAATTGATTGTTGCCATGTAAGATTCAGTCGAAGTGGATCAATCTCGTACCAATGGAAGACTTTTTTTTCCAGGTCAGTGGGAAAATAATCGAGAAGAAAGAAGTGACTTCGGTAATGGACAAAGTTGCAGTTCGAAAAACGGATAATAATGAAAGAGAACTGGAAGATAATGATGAAAATGGAATCAGAGAGCGAGAGAGTGAGAGAGTGAGAGAGAGAGATGGTGATGAAGGATCGAGTAAAGAAGCGAAAGATGAAAAGGAAAAAAGACAAAAATGGCTGCTCGTAGAAAAGAAAAAATATTCGACGTTTATATTTTTCTTCTTTTCTTCTCTTTTTCCTCTTCATCAACATCATCATCTCAATTCACGCCTTCTCATCTTCTCTCATCTTCTCTCATCTTCTCATCTTTCATCTCTTTTTTTCTGCCTTTTATCTTATTCACCATTCTACCATAGGTTAGACCTATTTCCATCATTAAATGGCAGAGCAAACTCACTCCATCCCGCCCAGGAGATGATGGAGAGAGAGAGAGAGAGAGATCGGCATGAAGAGTAGGACATTTGGAGTGGGTCGATTAAGATGTAATAATAATTTTATTTCAAGTTCGAGTCGTTGATTAACAAACTAACAGCACAAGAAGTAAAAGATTTCAACAATTAACTTGAATGGTAAAAAATGAAACCACCATTTTACTCAATCCATTGATCATCACCAGGCAACGTATTTAAAGTAATTGATTATCAACATCATTATTTTCAATAATCATAATGATAAACATATTGATAATAATGATGATAATATATTACTAATTTTGAAAACAGTTAGATTGATAAATCCCAACGGGATCAATTATATTTAATTGGGTTGCGTTTGGAGAGTTTCATTTTGATTTCTAACTGTTCTAACTGATTATTTCTTACGCTCCCAACTCTTATCATCATCATCATCATCTCAAGTGATTTACAATGATATTATCATGATAATGAATTAAATCAACACAAACCAAACAATTATGATTAACTATCATTATCTTAATCATTTTAAAATTGACCCAAAAAGTTACAGTTACCTTATCTGAACCTATAAGATGGAGATGAAGATAAAGATAAAGATGATGATGGAGATGATGAAGACGATGAAGATGATCATCTCAAATAACAAACAACTAACTTGTCTGTAATTGTAATTTGATAACTGATTGTTTGTCAAAGGAAAAAAAACCTTGCGTCTATAGGTTGGATGATGAGGATGAAGATGAAGATGAGGATGATGGGGATGAGGATGAGGATGAGGATGAGGATGAGGATGAGGATGGTGGTTGCAGTTTACATTATTGATTATTCAAAATATTGAATAGTATTAAGCATTTAATCTGGATAATGCTAAACATTAACACATAATTATGACAATCATTATTGTCACACACACTCTCTCTCTCTCTCTATAATCATCATTTGATAATCTTAATTGTAATCATCTCATCAAAGTGATGTTGATGTTGATTATAAGATGATAATTTCAGCATCAATTGAATTGTAACTGTTACACCAAAAAAACCCCTTTGAGTTAATCCATCAGCCCATTGATCACTGTTTTTGTATTGAACTTGTAGATCAAATTTCAGTACAAAGATTAAGATAATTAAGATAATTATAATCTTCTAGATAAAGATGAGGATAAACATGTGAATACGGATAAAGGATGAAACCATTTCCGGTCATCATCTTAATCATTCATCTCGACAATGTTTAACAATGATGATGATGAATATGGAAATGGTTTTAACTGAAAACAAAAATTGTCAATTCCAAATGATTGTTAAGACAAAAAAAAGTTTCTCACGAAAAAAAAAACTTAGTTTTATTGTCAAACAATTGATTTAATTGTAAACAATTTAAATGTCATTGACTTTGATGGGGAATGAAAAAAGTACATTGATTAACCATCGCAATCATTATAGTAATTAACTATTTACTTTTCTCAACTAATTGCTTGATGAAAATCACTAATTGTTGTACAATCAAGTTGATTATCATATTTTTCAATTGTAAGTTGAATCTTTTTTGATTAACCTTGATTAAATTGTTTGCTGATGATTGTTGTTGATATTTTTCATCATCACAATTTAATCATCTGATTATAAATGGTGGGTGAGTAATTATGATTTACTAATTGTTCAATATTTATTAACTAAATATAATCGATATATTTAAGATAATTATAATATTAATCATCATTGGAAAACTTTCAAACTGGAAATTAATCAAAACTAAATCAACTTTTTAATTGTATTGTCAATTTTTGCTACTGTAATTTGATTATTAACAATTAAATCATTTGAATCCTCATCTTTTAATTTGATAGCTAATTATGATTATCTAATAAAACATAATTTAATCATTTAAGATCAGATAACTTAATTGTTTGGATTTACTTAAATTTCAACTTGTCTTCATTGGGAAATTGGTTTAATTGTTGATCATCACATGAATTAAATTGTTCTTGATTGTTTCGTAATCATTTAGAGGTTTTTAATTGTTATTATTACATAAATATTGATATTGATTAGTTAATTGAATAGGATTAGAGGCAAATGATTAACTTTTTGATTGTTATCAGCATTTGATTATGAAAATTTTTGGTTCATTATTTTTTGTTCATTTTCATGAGAAATTAATTAATTATGTAAGTTAATATGGGATTGTTGATAATTAATTGATTGTTAAAAATATTGGTTAATCAATGAGATATATAAATGTATAATTAACATATAGTAAGTTAATAATCAAATTTGATCATCATAACAATTAAATTGAGGAAACAAACTGGAATAAGGATTACCAATCATTGGATTGATTAATTTTTGGTTAAATTTTCAATATTTAATTGTTGTCGTAATACTTTTAGGCTAATTATTAGTTGAATCTATTGTCACTTGTAATTAACTACAATTAGAGAATGAAAAGTTTTACCAACCAGTAGGTTAATTGTTTGGGTATTAACTATCGACTGGAAAATTGTATATATACACAAAAAGAAACATTTAATCAACAATTAATTGTCGATATCGAAAAGGATATTAATTTGATTGTTGAATAGAAATTGAAAAAGAAACAATCAATCAAGAATCACAGGAAACTCTCTGAATAATCATGAATCGTTTTCGAGGCTGAATGAGCGGCAATCATTTTCGCCTCTTTCTTTGTCTGATCTCGTTGTCGTCGATTTTTGAACCAATTGCTGACCTGAACTATCGTAAGTCCAGTGGCCTCGGCGATGTTTTTCTTATCCTCGGGCTTGGGGTAAGGGTCATTATTGTAACACTCTTTCAGCATACACCTTGATTTCTCCTTAAAACAGTAAATCCTTTCCTCTCCATCCCAAATCGTATACGGAAGTGGATGTTTTTTTCGAGCTCGATATTTGTCCACTGGACATAACGGACGTTTCCTGGTTTTCTCGGTCTCCATGTAATGAGCTTTAAACCTGAGGAAAATAACAAACAAGATACAATTAAAATCAGATTAATCGGGTTAATTGTTAATCTCTTTCTATCCTCAATCTTTCTGAATTATTACCAAAACTTCACAAACCAAATCGCGAAATCAAAACTAACGGTATCGCTTGATAATCAGTATTCATGTCTAATTTAAATGAAAGTGTATAAATAATATTGTAATAACTTTGATTCACTAATTAACCGTTAAAATAAAATAGAAAGAAAAACAAAGTTAACAATTACATTTACAATTAGATAGTGAGACTCATTGAACCTGATCAACTTATCTGAACCTAATCATGATTTAATCTGAAAGTGTGTTAACTTTCAAAGGTAAAAACCTAATTTACTATTTAACTAATTCAACCAAATGAAAGTAACATAATTAATATGAATTATGTTTAAACAAAAAGTATTAATACTCATCAAAAATATAAATGGAAACATAATTTAATTGGTAAACTAATTGTCATGGAAAGTGAGGCGATTTGAACACGAGGAAAATAATGAAACGTAATGAGGATAATTTATGACAATGGCCTTTTAATTGTGATTACAACAAGCAACTTGATTGGGATTAATAACTTTTTCTTTTGATTGTTGTTGATTTAGTTGAAGATTTAATTTGATTTTAAATTGTAGTCAAAGGATCAACTGATTGGGATTTTCATGTAGAATTTGGGAAAATAAAACTTACCATAGATTGGAAAGTTCATCGTGATATTTTGGATCGAAAGAGTAACTTTCGATTATTTGGAAAAGTTCTTTGTAATTAGCACTGTAAAAGGCGACATGAGCTCGAGCTCGAAGGACAGTTTCATTGCGACTGATCTGAGGTGTTTCTGGAATTGTCCAGAGAAAATTTTCCAACTTTTTGAACTCTTTCGAGTGAAGTAAAGCTTCACAGACACAAGTTATCTGGTCATTTGTGTACGATGTCCACGTCAATGGGGTCGATTTAGCGAAGCTGCTTGACCGTTGGATGTTATTGATATTCACTGAATTTGAGTGGTGAGATAATTGAGTTTGGTGGTGTTGTAGGTGTTGTTGTTGTTGTAGTGGTTGTTGAGGTTGTTGGTGGTTTTGATGGAGTGAATCGTGAAGTACATCGGTGAATTGCCGATGATTGTTACGAGATTGTTGTTGTTGTTGTTGCTGTTGTTGGTGGTGGTTTTGTTGGTGCTGTTGGTGTTGTTGTTGTTGGTTGAGATGGTGATGACTTTGAATGTTTTCTGATTGAAATCTAAACTGATTAGAGTGATGATTTAGATTTGCTTGTTGTTGTTGTTGCTGTTGTGGTGTTGATGGTGGTGAAGTGTGACTACTATTTAGATTGCAGATTGTTGTCTCTGTTGATGAGCTGTAACAATCATCTTCCATTTTGGTTTTAATTGTTGGTGTAATTGAGGAAGTTCCAATATTTAAAGATGATGTTAAGGGTGAGGAAAGTTTACAGGGTGAGACATTAATACATGACGAGGTGGAAAGTGGGGTTATTTTGATGGATGAAAGTAATGGAAGTAAAGTTGAGGAAGAGAGTGGAGGAGAGGAAGATATTGATAACTTGTAGCTCGAAGAGGAATCACTGTCCGAACTCGGGATACTCGGTCCATCTAAAGCGGGACCAAAAGGTGTATACGAAAATCCTCTTGTATTCATGAGGAATATTTTACTTCGATAAAGGTACGAAAGGGAGAAAACGACACACACAGAAAACAAAAGTCCACGAACGTGAATACAAAACAAAAAGAACAAAAAATAAACGTTAGGCACCAGAAGAGAAGACGAAGTGAGAGAGAGAGAGAGAGAGAGAGAGAGAGAAGTTGGCCTAATGTCCAGCACCTTTTTCGAAATAGTTGTTGAGTGTTTATCTCTGTCGGGGTCGTCCCCTCCTTCACCTCGAGGCGAGTGTTAAATATTGTAAGTGAAGTTTTAAGAAGAATAATAAAAGTTTTCTAAAAGCACCAACAAACAAAAAGAACACCAATAATAATAGAATAATAATATTTGAACAATAAGAGAAAAAAAAAAGTTCTAAAGGATAAAAGTTGTTTTGTCGAGCAAGCGAATGACACAAGTTGATGAAGTTGTTAAAAGACTATGGAAATGAAGACGATTAGTGAAGAGAGTAAGTGAATGAGATAAATGATGTGAGTGAGTAAAATGAAGAGAAAGAGAAAATAGAAAGAGAAGATGATGAGGATGATGAGGATGCGAATATAAAGGAAAAATGTATAGGCTTTTAACTCGGTAAAAGTTTACAAACGATTTTGCTCAAAGATTAAAGAGAATCTATAATGTCACTTGGCTTGAGTTCGTTTACGCGGGTTGTGTTCATTTCGCTGACAGGAAATCGAAGGTCAAATGTCGAAGAGAGAAACAAATTCTTCTCTTTAAACTCTTTCTTTATTCTCTTTCTTTTCCATTGTCCATCGATTTCTCTCTTATATTTTGTATCTTCATTATCAGCGATCGAATTAGATACTGATCGTAATTGTGACTTTTCGACTTTGATTATGATCTTCGATGTAATTGATCATCGGCATAGATTTTTATCTTTCAGATGAAAGTTTCAATTTTCGAAAAAAAATCGATCCAATCGATTATCCCAATCGGTTGGCTTTCAATTGTCAACAATTAAGAAACAAACATTAATCAGTTGCTTTCAAACAATTAAGAATATTATTTACATACTCCTATTACTCTTGTTACTCTCAATTAACTCACAACAATCAACTGTTAACAATTGACAACAATTAATTAGATGAAGGGAAAAAGTTGAACATTGAAATTATGTAAGCTACTTGCTAATTGTTGTTAATCAATGTTGACTAGTAATAACTAGCCAATAGATTAAAGGTTTGGCTGATGATCAATTTTAACAAATCACTTTTACTTTTAATTATCAATAACAACAATCAACAAACAAAATTAACCCTTGATCCTTTTAAACAGAAAGAAAATCATTCCAATGGTTTCCTTTTTAAGATTTTTCATTAATTCCTGGAATTGTGATTAGTTGATTATTTTGTTATTCCTGTTAATGGTAATCATAAACTGATTGATTATCAGTGATGAAAGAAAAAAAGTATTTTCAACAATCAAACCTTACAATCAGTTGATTGGTTACTCTCATCATCTTTTAACATAATTAACTTTTCCTTTCTAATTCTCCTTTAATCATTACAATCATTGTATTCAATTTCATCAATTAATTTGTATATTTTTTTTGCAAGTTATCAGAATAGAAAACAATTAACAATATAAATACATTAAGCTTTGGGCTTTGATCGCTTTGTAGCAAATATAAATATGATTAAGTTTTTGGGAAATTAAACTGAATTATACAAATGGTTAAAAAATTGTTTGGTGGTTGTGAGATCGACAAGCAATTAGATTAAATCATTTTGAGGTTGATGGTTGATCAGGATCTATTTCTTCATTCAAGTTTACTGGTTCAGCTGAATCAATGAGCCGTTTTAATTGTTGACATTTAGGATCATCGATACGTTTACCAAGGCAATTGGAAGCTTCAGTTGTATCCATGTTGGCGATATGAACTTTGGCCGCGAATTCATAGTTGGTATCGTTTTGTTTTACTTTGGCCCATGCAGAAAGAATGTCCTTAATTAGATGAGTGTTGTAAGTTTCGCGAGATTTGACCAGAATTAGCGCTTCCTTGTACAGACCAGCATTGACCAAAACTCTTGCCGCATCTATGATTCTGTGGATTGTTGAGTAATATAAGGCCGCTTGAATGGAATCTCCAGATTTCTCTAATTGAACGGCATAAGCGAGAACCGTTTTAGACCAAAATTCACGGGAAATTGAAGCGGCCTGGGAGACCATCCAATCGGACAGTTGACTAGTTTTTACTGCTTCGGTAATCATATCTTTAAGGTTACCCTGTAAGGCTGAGATTTGAAAGGCAAGAGGGAAATTTGTATTCTCCTTGTGATTGGAAATCTCGATCTCACAAAGCTCTTTAATTTCATCTTTATCGAGAAAAATTAGATTCCTTGTTCGAAGTTCATTATCATTTATATCAGAGCTGATCAACTGGTATCGTTTAGATAATAGAAACTCGATATCTCGAAGTGTCTGTAATTTGGTTGAACAATTTTCCATAATATTTGATCTTGGTAATAGTGATTTCTTTTTATCTTTGTATGAAATCTCGGCCATCACTTTATCGGAATTTCTCAATCTGTTTATTATCGTATCTGGATGACCTGGAGATCGGCTTGTTCGGCCATTTTGAGCCTTTGACGAAGGTTTTGTTTCTGGTGAAACTTTTGGCGTACCTGATTCAGGTGTAGCTGATGTAATACTTTCAACAATTTTACCCACAGGGAAATTGATTATTTTTTCAGTGGTTGAATCTAATACTTGATTGACATCATGTTCATTGCTAGATTCAAGAGCTGAATACTGTTCATCGTCACGATGAACTTGTTCAATAGGTTTCAAATAATCATATTTAGTTGGACTTGGTTCATTTACTTCGGGTACAGGTGATTCATTTCGTAAATCCCTTAGACTTGCAACTAATCTAGGATGTTGACTATTTCTCATTTCACTGGGAGACCAAACTTGCAACGTACTATCATCACCGCCACTAAAGATAAGATTACTATCCCAAGGAGCCCAAGCGATGGCAAACACTTTGGACCAATGGCCGCGAAAAGAGTACATAGGTGCTTCACAGTCAATATGCCAAACTTGAACCGTTGTATCGGCTGAACAAGTGGCCAATAGGTCTTGATCAACCATATTCCAAGCGATACTTATAACATTATCTTGGTGTCCACAAAGAGTCTTATCCGATTCGGTTACATGAACTAATTTTTTCGATTCATTGTACTCGATTAGGTGAAATTTAAGATCAGTCAATTCAACTGTAATATCTCGTGACGCTGATGCTATCCAATACTCGTGCTTTGCTTTATCCTTGTAAACAACTTTGTTTTTAAGCTTACAATCGTATTGATAAAGATTATCGGGATGCCAACGAATACAGGAAATAGGTGCTGTATGAATATCCAAAACAACTGCTGATTTAAAGTGACCATCATTTGCACAGATCATTATTTGACCATCTTCGTATCCAATAGCAATGTAATTATAATCATCTTTCCAGACTAATTCAGTTTTATCGAGATTATCTCGAGCAACACTATGATCGGATAATTGATCAAGACTAAAAGCCTTGGAATCGGTTACAACATGAGCTCGGATTGATCCAGCAGCATAGACGGTGTAACAAGCCCAATTCCTGGTCAAATTAGATGAAAATTCAGAGGGTATGGGTCCCCATTTACAAGCGTAAACACGACTTTTATATCCAGTTAATTTGTGCTCACTAGAATAAACCTTAACTTGTTTATTTAATTCGACACAGATAAAAGTTCCGTCTTCGGTACCAAAACCAATCAGACTTTCTCCATCTCTATCCTTTGGATGCCAAGCAGCACTAACGATCTTTGTGGACGGTGGGACATTAGAAACACTATCGATTCTATAGTTGGGTGGACCTTTACTGTTGGAAGGAATGAAGAAAAAATGTATTAAATCAACCAAATAAAATATCGATATCATGATAATATACACTTACTTGGGTAAATCTCTAGCATTATGGTTAAAGTACCAAATTTTAAGACCATCGCCACAAGCGATTAATAGTTTTGTATAATCTGCTGGATAAAAGTCGAGATCATGAACTTGTAGACTGACTGTTGGAAAACTTGGCTGAACACTTTGCATCTTTTTAAGATCGTAAATAATAATCTGACGATCTATCGATAAACTGGAGGCAAAAAATTTCATATTCCAAAATGGTTGAATAGATCGTTTGTTTTCAGTAACAATATAGTGGAAAGGATTAACAACCGATATGTTAAATACAACATTATTATGATGTATTTTATTCACATTGATTGGTTCAGGTCTTTTTAGCGGATTGAATCTGGTTTCACGTTTGTCGGCGGGAATATCGATTAGGACAATCTTGCCATCAGTTCGAGATACCAATAGTTTAAGAAAATATCGACAATTTTCAAATTCTTTTTCTTTTTCCTTTTCCTTTTCAGTGGGATCATTTGCTGTTTCCACAACAATTACATCGTTTTCTGGTTCTTTAATTTCAATTGTTTCCGATGCTTCAATTTCATTGCTTTCTGATTCTCTAATCTCATTGCTCTCTGATTCTTCAATCTTGGGTGGTTCAGGTTCATCATTTTCAATAGATTCTTGAGATTGATTGGACTCTGTGGTTGATTTTTTAGCTTTCCTGGGTTTTGTTGGCGGAGGCTTCGGGACAAATGCAAGGGAGAAAAAATTTTTCGCCTTTGATTTATCTCCTTTGGTGGCAAAATGTTGCTCAGCAAGAATTTTCCGTGAGTCAAGTTCCCAAACTTTTAGTAATCCTTGTCGAGAGATTACAGCTAATATACCAGTTTCATATTCTCCATTTGAAAATGGAAAGGACATTGAGGTTATTTCGTCTGAGCTATGATACAAAGTGTATAATAAATTGTAATCAACGATCGAAGCTCCATCAAGCTTAACAATTGAAACATTTCCACCAACAAAACCAACAGCGAGTAACAAAGGATCTACTTTGGTTAATTTGATGGAAATAATTTTTGACTGGCGATTCTTAACAAGTGAACCAAAATCAACGGAATAGTAAACATTGGTCTCAGTATTCCATTGGATAACATGAGAACCTTTTGAATAGTAAACATCAACATCATCAGCCCAATCGACGGAATTGATAATCAAATCAGGTCCCGATTTTATATCAATAGGATCAATTGTTTGCATTACATTTTTCTCTATATGGTAAATATAAACCTTTCCCTGATTAGATCCAATGAACAATTTAGGAGTCCTAAATAAAGAGAGACAGAGATAGATATGGCGACAGTTTAAATTAAAGGTCAAATTTGAAACAAAAACACAAAACAATTACCACAATTTAATTAGAAGATCACAAACGTAATCTACTTACTTTAAACACCGAGCAAATGAAACCGCATTAACCTTTTCATAGACACTTGGGTAAGGTTTAACCGAACGATTAAATCTTACTGTTGTACCGTGAATTTGGCATAAAATTACACAGTTACGAGCACCATAAGCCAATAAACCATTAACATTGTTCTTAAAATAATCGTTTTTGGGTAAAATAAAATTAGAAGAATTTTGAAAAAAATTTGGTGAACTCCAAACATCCAGAATAAAATTTGTATACCAATTAGCGAAAGGAGATAAACTGATTTTGGTTTCACTAGAAATCATAATGAACCAACAAACAATCAAATCACTTCTCAACAGAGAACAGAACAGAATATAAATGAAATGAAATTAAATTAGAATCAAATTAACCGTTTAAATGATTGTTTCTCTTTTTAAAAACAAAAAGAAAATACAAACTCACATGTTAACAGAAATGAAAAAGAAAAGAAAAAAAAATTTGAAAAAAAATCGAAAATCTAGTAACCAAAACGATCGTCAGATGGAGACAAAAACGAATTTTTTATTGTTCCTATAATTTTGTTTACGCTTTTGAAGAAAAAGCTGAAAAAAAAATTGTACAAAAAAAGTGACATTAAATTTTAAAAGAATAACAATTTAAATTAAATCATCTAATTGTTTTTTGTTGTTGTAATTAAGTTAAACATTATGGAGATAACAGTTATCTAGATCATTGTGCTGATTGTCAACTTTGGATTTCCATCATTTGTAAACCTTATGTTTTTTGTTTGGGTGGAAAAAAAAATGTAACGATTAAGACACATTATTATTTTTTTTTATTCTTCAATACAAAAAAAAACCAGTACTCTTTTTATTTCAATATCGTGCTCTTTTACTTTCTCTCTCTCCCTCTCTTTCTTTTATTTGCCTTCTTGGTCTTTCATTGTTTTGGTAATTATTGTGTATTCTCTTTTCTCTTTCGTCCTTCAGGCCAGGATTATCAAGTGAAAAAACCGCATTGTTGGAAGTCTTGTTCATCTTATAAAATTTGAGCTGTTGATAACAAATAGAATTATTATTATTATTGTAATAATAATACTGATAATTGACTAGATTGATTTACCTTTGCGCTTTTTGCACTAAACCATGTTACCAGATAAATATGCAAATTCACAATATGCAGCTGTTGCAGCCAACCTGAATTTAAGAGCTACATTTCACCATCATACACAATATCCATCAATGAATTTTCCTAATACCTTGGCTCGTGATTTAATCAGTTTTGGAAATAATTCTCATTCTTTTAAACATGGTCCACCAAATTCTTGTCCAAATCAAACCAGAGGAAATATTAATTCAGCAATAGCGAGCAATAATCATCATCTCAATAGTTGTAATGTGATGTTTAGCTTAGCACCAAACAATTATTATTCTAATTTTAATATAACAGGTCCAGCCATGGTTGGAACTAGTAATCATTATCACAATCATAACCATAATCTTCAACCTGGTCCTCCACCAACAGTTGCAACTAATCACGGAAGCACATCTCGTTCTTCATCGGTAGCAAGTAATCACGCTATTCAACATGGAAGTGAATCTTCATCGTGTAGCTATGGCTACAATAGTCCATCAACTATTCCACATTCTCCTTATCAAAAGAGATCTAGTGTATCAGCAACATCCTCAGGAGTATCTAGTCAGAATTCAGCTGTGATTTCAGCTCCAGTTTCCAGTGGAGTCACAGGTTATCCCAATAATTCATTCAACAATCCAGGTTAGTTTTCCTAATCAACTCTCTTTATTTGCTTTCTTGCAACTGTTTCCTTTTTTTACCTTTCGCTTTTGTTAATCCTAATTTCATCTTCGTTTTTACCAATACACAGCTCAAGATGATCCTATGAGACATTTTCATGTAAATACACAAAACAATGGAACCTCATACCCGACTAATTTTAACACTGCAACACGTTATCCTCCACCCAAAGTTACAAGTGGTGCAAATAATTCACCAGCTTCTACTGGTTCGATGAGCTCTTGCATGGTAGCTGCTGCCGCAGCAGCTTCATCAACAAATCCAAATGCTCCCTTAAATTATTTACAACACAATTTAACACCAACTGGAAGTGGTGATAGTGAAGCTTGCCTTTCAAGTATATCCAATTTAACACCAACGATCTCAGATAATATTCCCAATGGCGATAAAATGAACGATTCTCAATTAAATGTAAACGTTGATCATCCTGTTATTACTAGTGAACCTCATTTGACTTCAGTTTTCACTGAAACAGATATTGAGTTCTCTAATCTTATCTATCCTCTACTTGATGCCACTGCAGCAGCAAATTATGCTGAACAAATGAGAATTGATGGAACGGGACCAAAGAAAAAGAAAGAAAGATCTAAGAAACATAAGAAAAAAGAGAAAATTAAAAGTATTGATCGAATCTCAATGCCAACCAACACTAACACAAATACCAACAGCAATTTAAACAATCTTTCTTTACCCTATCACCAAACATCAAATTCAAATTATAATGAAAGTTTCTCAAATCATATGAACCAAAATTGCAACACATTCGACCATCAACAATCTCATCACCAGAGTCCAGCTTCTCATCCATCAACACCAATACACCAACAGCAATCAACTATTTATGTAAGTAATCATCAAACTAACTCGCACCTTATCACCTCACTTTCACTTTCACTTTCACTTTCACTTTTTCTTTTTATTTGCAATTAATTCCTAAATTACTTTCTTTCTTTAGCCTCAGGCAAGATCTTCAAGTACACCGTATTCAGAACCAATTCCATCGTTTAATCAGCAGCTTCGACAAGTTCCTCAAACTCCACAATCAATGTTACCTGATAATTATTCAGCTTCTCCATACGCAGCTGTTGCAGCGGCAGCTAACTTGAGAGCAGCCTTTCACTCTCATACACAATATCCATCAATGAATTTTCCTAATACCTTGGCTCGTGATTTGATCAGTTTTGGAAATAATCCTCATTCTTTTAAACATGGTCCACCAAATTCTTGTCCAAATCAAACCAGAGGAAATATTAATTCAGCAATAGCGAGCAATAATCATCATCTCAATAATTGTAATGTGATGTTTAGCTTAGCACCAAACAATTATTATTCTAATTTTAATTTAACAAGTTCAGCTATGGTTGGAGCCAATAATCATCATCATAACCTCAACCACAATCCAAATCACAATCACAATCCCAATCATAATCATAACCATAATCTCCCAGCTACTGGTGGCGTTGGACCACCACCAACAGTTGCAACTAATCACGGAAGCACATCTCGTTCTTCATCGGTAGCAAGTAATCACGCTATTCAGCATGGAAGTGAATCTTCATCGTGTAGCTATGGCTACAATAGTCCATCAACTATTCCACATTCTCCTTATCAAAAGAGATCTAGTGTATCAGCAACATCCTCAGGAGTATCTAGTCAGAATTCAGCTGTGATTTCAGCTCCAGTTTCCAGTGGAGTCACAGGTTATCCCAATAATTCATTCAACAATCCAGGTTAGTTTGATAATCTTTATCTCGCTGTGTTTCTAGTGAAATTTAATATTCTAATTCAATCTCTATTTTATCATTTCTCTTAAAGCTCAAGATGATCTTATGAGACATTTTCATTCTCAAAACAATGGAACCTCATACTCGACTAATTTTAACACTGCAACACGTTATCCTCCACCCAAAGCTTCAAGTGGCTGTTACAATCGAATCTCAATGCCAGGAAACACCAATAGCAATCTAAATAATCTATCACTTTCCTATCATCAAACTCAAAACTCTCAATATCATGAAAATTTCTCTAACCATATGAACCAAAGTTGTAATACATTCGAACAGCAACAATCTCACCATCATAGTCCGGCTTCTCATCCATCAACTCCTGTTCATCAGCAGCAATCAAATATCTATGTAAGTATATCCAGAGTCATTTAACGATTTCGAAACCTTTAAATTCAATTATATCCAATATCCTTTCTCTACTTTTACTTTCACCGTTTATAATTATTTTCTTTTACTTTAACTTTCTTACTTTCTCTTTTTTTCTCTTCTAGCCTCAGGCGAGGTCCTCAAGTACACCCTATTCAGAATCAAGTTCATCTGGAAATCAGCAACTTCAACAGCAACAACAACAACAAGTATCACAAACTCAACAAGCTCCTTCCGTTTCTCAACAAACGCTACAATCCACAGTATCTCATTCAGAAACTCAGCCCACACATTTGCAATCTCAGCCAAATTTAATGTCACAATCTGACTTGGTACCCAGAGTGTCACCATCATGTTTTGATACTAACACTTCATTGAGCAATCTACAATCTGATATAATGAATGGTTCAGTTCATTCAAATCAAACCAGTTCATCAATGGATTATCCTAAATCTCCTTCAGATAATACATTCCAACAACCCATGATTGTTCACCATAATGTGGATAATTCTTGTTCTGTTCCTCCTACTCCACATCCTAATCTAAGTACAACAGAAAATGATGATCAACTTGACAATCAAATATCAGAAAAACTTTCATCTATTCAAGATGATCTTGATTTTCTAACAGCAGCCGAAGAGTGTGAATCAAACTCACAAGTTGTTAGAAATGAGATTAGTACTCAAGTTAATCCTCAAATGGTTAGTTCAGATGAATCTCATAACATTTCTATGGATCAGCAACAACCACAACAACAACAACAACATCAACAGCATCACCACCAATCAGAACCTTTATCATCAACGCCAATCGTATCATCAGTTCAACCAAATTTAATATCGGCAACATCTCCATCATCAGCAGTATCTCCAACATCAACATCAGTATCAAGTTGCATGGAACAGTCCAAATCAACATCAACAATCAGTGTTTGTACTGTTGATCCTATTTTGACTAAAACTTGTGCCATTCCTGATGATGACTCAATGATGATAAGATCTACTCCAACACCAACATCAACACCAACAACCTCAATCAATAATGTTAATAATAATTCAAAAGGCTATCAAACCGATTTTATTAGCCTGCCACAACAAAGAGTGCCAACACCAATGACTTCTGACATTGGAATCGATATAAATAACGTTGAGAATAAGATGAATAACGAAACTGGCGGCAATAATGGTGGCAATGGTGGTGCAATCAAGAAGAAGAAAAAATCAAAAGAAGCCAAGACAAAAATATTTTGTTCCCAAAAACTAATCCAAGGTTCTTCATCTGGTAACAATAATAATAATCAAAAGAAATCAAATTCAATAATCAATATTGTTCCAGTTCATGGTGACAATTTTAATAATAAGATGTCATCCCATATAAACAATAAGTCACTTTTATCAAATATAACAACAACTACCTGTAAACCCATAGAGGTAACCAATATAAGGAAAACAAGTGATATCAAAGATCATGAAGCTAAATTTTTCAAAATGAGACCTGTTGCTAATACGACAACAATCACAACTATCAATGAACCGACTAATATGAGGATAAGCTGTAAAAGTACAAAGAAACGTAAATTGGAGGAAACAGGAAAAGAGCACAAATCAGCTGTTGATGAATATGAATTCCCTGATAGTCCGACTCACCTTTCAACAACGAAAAAGGTTAAAAGAATCAATTTGGAGAACTCAAAGAAAAAAGTTTCCGACAAACTATTAACTAATAGTAATAACTGTTCAATAACTATTGATAGGAAAGTTTCCCTTAAACCAAAAATGAAATCGAATCAAAATTTCACGGGTAACACAGCATCTACTAAATTAAACATCAGCGATAAAACGGAAATAATCAACATTGTTGGCCCACGGACAAGTAATTTGAATCAACAACAGCAACAACAACACTGTAATAAGGGTAAATTTGACGAGAGAATGACAAAATCTTCTGGATCGTTGGATGCAAAGAAATTAAATCAATTTAATTGCTTAAATAATCCTAATCTTCATCTTAATCAACCTCATAATCAAAAGGTGATGAAAGACTCCTCCAAAGTACCTTCCATCATTGTTCAAGAGATTATCACTCAACCAAATTCATCATCTTTATCTCATCAACCCTCCACCACTAAAAATCTAACCAACACCATCAACATCGTCAGTATAAGTAAAAAATCATCGAACATTGGATCTAATCAAAGTAAAAAAGAATCACCAACACGAACTTGTATCATGAATAATCCTATTCCTACGAATACAATCACGACAATTGTTCCAATACCATCAAATACTTTAAACACATCAATAATTATTTCCAATCCACAAACAACTTCTAATTTAACAACGACCACAATAACAAATCAACAAGCATTAGCTCATCTATCACAATCAATTTCATCAACTCCTTCATTATCTTCAATACCAATGGCACCAACTCAAACGTCAACAACAACTCAACAGTCTCAGCAACAGCAACAACAACAACAACAACCACATCCAACTGGATCTATTAAAAATCTAACCAATGCTAATGTTTTAATGCAAAGTGCTGGGACCAACACACCTCGAAGACGATCACAAGATAAAAAAGCGCTCACCATAAGGGAAGGATTAATGAGAACAGGAGACTTTGTTGTCTCCTTAGATGAAACTGAATCTGAACTCCCGATGATCTGGAGGATAGAGGGTAAAAGTTTATTACAACGTTTCGAGCCAAGTGATCAGGATGGTCAAATTGTTTACACAAACACTTCTTCAGTAAGTATCAAACTAGTCAATTAAAAATAACCAATTCATCTTGTAACATGGAAACAATTTGGTTTAACAAAATTTAAAAGTTTGTTTGTTTTTTTTTGTTAATTCAAATTAACTAAGTATCAGCTATTCATAGTCTTACATGATTTAATTAGCTGAATCAATAATTACTTTTTAAATACTTGAATTGAATTACGATTTTTTTAAGCTTTCACCTTGAATCCTATTAATGAGCTTTTCAAATCAACTACAATTGTTGCATTTAATTTTACTCTTTGTTAAATTTTTCAATCTATTCATCAAGTACTTGATTCAATATTTGGATAAATAATCAGTTTGTCTGTGACAATTATTTATGAACAAGTTTTCAAGATTGTTATTGAATAACATCTAATTGATTGCATTTCTATGCTTTTACCTGGCCATTAATAGTTTGATTGAGAGGATTTAATCATTAAACAAACTGTTATAATTCACTAAATAATTCATAGTGCTTTTAAACTTAATTGTTTACTTAACTACTTGTGAAAACATTGTTTGTTTATTGTCGAGTACAATTAAGATATTAGAGCGAATGACAATTAGATTTTCTTTAATGTTTTCTAATTTCTCCTGAAAAGTTTCACTAATTGTTTGTTTTATCTCTTTTCATTTCTAGTACTCTGCATGGAATCCAACCGTTAAACAGCGTTACACTGGTGTTGATGTTAGAATTGTTGGTTGTAATAGAACCAAAATTGTCGTCGAAAAGCTTGGTTTAACTCGTAATAATAGCAATTATGATAAAAGTGATCCTGAAAAAAGTTCAAGTGGTGGTAACGTGAATATAATCACCAATGGTGAGATTACTGTTGAAAAATGTAAAGCGCCTGAGGATAAACCTGCTAATAATTTTCAACACCAAGCTGATTTTGAAGTATTCATTCAAACTTTGATAAGTCAAGCCTTAGATGCTAATTTTATTTCTGAGATTATCAAAGAAAATGGTAAATATAACAATTTTCTATTCAGCCACATGGAAAACAAGACAATACATTTACTGATACTCATAATTATAATTGTTTTTTTCATTTTTAGATGAATATTTCCTCTCACATATCCAAGCCATTGATGATTACTGTGTAAAAAAGAAATCACGTTTCTTTACCAAAGTCAAATGGGATGCTCATATTGTCAAATGTGTAGAAACTTTTTCAAGCTTTAATGTAATACCTCAATCACAAGTCGGTGATTTAAGATGCCGGGTATGTTATTCCCTAATTACCTGTTATTTACCACTAATGATTCTCAACTCTTATTTACAAAATTTTCTTTCGTGATATCTGTTTACCACTTACCAATATTATCTAATATTTTGATTTTTTTTCTCTTCTCTATTAGCTATGTCATGATAAATGGAGCACTCAGATCCTACACTTCACTGGTAAAACCTACGATCAAATCACTCTTGAGATTAAGGAACCAGTGGACATTAAACAAACCAAATATGCGGCTTGTGACGAATGTAAAGAAAAGTCACCTTATTTTCTAATCTTCATCATCAAAAGTATAACTTTTATGCCAAGTGCCGTGGAAAGGTCAGTTATATTGTTGTTCGAAATGTTCTGACCATATCTCTAATGTTGATCTCTTTTTTTCACATTTAGGTTGAAGAAATGAGAGGTGGAGTTGAGGACAAAGATTCACCAATGATTCTAGAGGAATGTCTCAAAGACATTGGCTGGATGCAATCTGTAAGTATCTGAATCAATGATAGTGTTTAATGATTCCAAATCTAATTGTTACTAATTAATTTTCTTCTATTTGTATTTTGTAAACACAGTTATTCAAGCAATTTGAGGAGATATGGCAATCGTGCGATCGGATTAGATGATTGATTATAATTTCTCTTATCTAAAGGATAATATAATTCTGATTCATCTAAAATTTTCAATGTACTATAAATATTAATCTATGATTTCATAGTCCTAATTGTACAGTGTGTTGATTTTAATCAATTGTGTCGATGTTATAATATCGTAAATATTGAATCACTATCACTATCATCATCATCATCAACATCATCATCATCACCAGACAAAATACATAAGTAACACAGCATTATTATCAAAAAGTAACAAATATTAATGTAAACCTTAATTTACGTTTATTGTTTTTATTATGAGAAACAAAATTGTGAACATACAAATCGACTGAATTAATTGAATTTATTTGATTTTGATTGATTATACAATCAATTCTTTTTTTTGTAAATTAAAAGAAAACCTTATTGTGAATAGACTGACCATTAAACAGATGATAATCTTATATATGTATCGACTATACAAACCTCTCAATCTTAATTATCGTTGTATCGTAAATCGGAAACACTGTTAATGACGATAATTGTAGTTTTGTCCAATCAACAATTTGGAAAGGGCAAAGTATGTTAATATTGCCTACAAGTCTCAATTGATGATTTAATTTAAATTGTTCTCCATGAAAATTATTGATATTTACTGAACTAAATGAGGGTAACTATTGAAATGAGAAGTTAATTATTGTAATTATTTAACTATTACCGTCGTTTAGAAAGGCATCATACTGATTAATTGTGATTAATTATGGCGTGGGCACTGTCCACGAGTATAAGGTAATTAATTTGTTGATCTTAACTCCCTCAAGGTGAGATATTAGAGATGATATAAAACCTGACCAGTGTCCATGTTTCAATTTATTAACAAATTCTAAATCTGATCAATTTACTGATTGTTTGGGTTCACTAGTTTTCTGATTGTTATTACGTGACTATTGTTTCGTAGTTGAAAACGAGAAATAATTTAGTAAGTTCATTGTAATTTCCTCAAAAGTGATTCTTTTATTATTTTTCTCACTGTCAACGATAAAATTGTTTTGTTTTGTTAATTATATAATAACCAGAGAGACGAAATTGTCCATTAAAATGTTCAATCAGAATATCGTTGTGATCATCTTCATCATTTTAGCTTTTGGCTCAATCAAAGTTTCGTCACGAAGTTATCTCTTGACCTCAGATCATTCTCGATTTTCAAAGAGTCTGGTTGTTTAGGTGAATACGACAAAGCGACTTTTGCCTCTTTGGCTCGAATCTGTGCTGATTGTTACGAACTTTATAGAACTCCCGATATGGAAACATCATGCTCGTAAGTTTATTCGATAACATTAACCACCAATTCTTTATTTAATCCAATCAATTTAATGAAATTCTTTACAGGGATAACTGTTATATCAACGATATATTCCCGAAGTGTGTCGTATCGTTGGTCTTACCTCATCAACATAAGGAAATGTATACGAAGCGAAAACGCATCGCAAATGCTTAAAATCGTTGATAATTCCTACTCATAGACTTAATTATGACCTTAATTTTATCCTTTCGTTTGAAAATTATTTCTATTTATTCAATTACTTTACAATTTACTATTATAAGTTGCGAATATTAAATTACTTTGTTTTCTTTTGGTTATCAATTTGATTCGTCGATCTCAATATTGTATGATTCATAATCAATTAACTAATGTCAATTAAATCGATCTAAATTCTAATAGATCCCAAGAAATGTAAAACTTTTAAGTTTAATTAATCTCGATTAAAGCAAATTGTGATTATCTGATATACAGTATATTGTAGTATATTTTGATTGCTCTGTAATCATTTAATATTATCATACTTATTATTACATGTTTTATATGATATTAATCCTGATTAAATTGCTACTTTAAACAATTTATTAACCATGTTAAAGCCTCCTTGTTAATCAGTTGATTAGCTTAATTAACAGTCTACCAGAAGCATAAATTATCACATGTACTTCCTGATAGTGTCCTAATAACCCTGAAGGGATTAACTCTTAATCCAAGGTTAAAGTAAAAAGAAACAAATTATCACCCTGATAGAGATGATGAAAGAGATGATGACACCTTGAATTATATAATAATTAATTCAATTGGAAATTGTGTGATTTAAATTGTGATCAACCTTGTTTAATGGTTAATCAAATTAGTCAAAAACAAAGTGAAGACAAAATTTCACCGAGAAAATTAAGTAATTGAAAGTTAATTGTCTTTCTAATCCAAATTAACTCAGGTAACTTTTTCTTATCCTCGATTTCAAGGTTCATCATAAGAAACTGATAGAGAGAAAAAAGAAAAAAAAACTTTTTTTTTCTTCTTAAATTAAGAAACACTGATTAAGACTCGATTATAATCGTATTACCTGAATGATATGATTTAATTGTCCTTGTCAATACCTTTGATTGTACCTTAAAAATGTAGTTAACTCCCTTCAGGATAATTGAGAATCATTCATTGATTCAGTCTCTATCATGGTTAATCTTAGCAGATTTAAGGTAAAAAAGAAAAAAAAAATTTCTTTTACTGAATTTGTTCATTTCGAACAACTTTTTCTTCATCTTCGATTTCAAATTTCTTTGAAATATCAACTCAGCTTCGCTCATTGAAACAAATCCTATGGTGATTAATGGGATACCCATGAACAGAAATAAAATAAACACCAAACTTGGAACCTCAATTATGGTAATCAACTGATTATCACCACACTCTATCATTTACACTCTGTGAGAGTTACAAATATACAATTAATTAATTATGATCATCGGGCTGATTACCTCGTTCTAATTCTGTTCATTTCCTATAATAACAATTAAACAAATTAAAAAGTAAAAGAAAAAAAAAGTTAATTAAGTGTAAAAAGGCTTGAAGAAGGTTATTAGCATTGATAATACATTCATTTTGGTTAATTAACTTTGAGAAATTACTTAATTAAAATTGATCACTAATTTTCCCTGATTAAACCTTGATTTACGATTAAATAAAAATCGGATGGATAAGCCATTGGACTTTTTGTTCAACACGATGAAACTTTGAAGACACCACAAGTTTTAATTCAGTTATAAATTGTTAAATAATCGCAAGTAATCACCAAGTGAAATCATATTAATATAATAATCATCAATTGTCACAATTAGTGATCTTCCATTTGATTTGTTGTACCAATTGAAATCTTAAATTACTTTCCAAATAAACAGTAAAAAAAAGTCTCAGCAAGATGATTAAAATTGATTCGATTGTTGGTTTAATTGTTGCCCTTGTGTTTACCTTATTATTTTGTGTTCTAAATGTTCAATCGGTTAATATTCATCTGGCCAAACGCAGTTTCGACAAAGCTTCGTGCAATGGTTCATATAATATTCAATATTACGCTCGACTCGATCGTATCTGTGAAGAGTGCTACCAGTTATACAGGGAATCTCATCTACATAGTAGCTGCAAGTGAGTAAATTTAATAATCAGTAAGCTAACAATCAACTAATTGTTGTGATCACTTTTCTAATCTCAGAGCTAACTGTTTCAAGAACGATATATTCACTAAATGTGTGATCGCTTTACTATTGGGGGATAAGCAGAAAGAGTTCGAGAACATGGTAAACGAACTTGGCAGATAACCTTTTTTCTGTTGTTGTTGTTCCATCTAATTAACAATCTAATTAACCAAATAAATCACATCTCAATCTTCATCATCATCATCACAATTAATCGTTTAAATCATTGCCCTTTAATTTATTTCATAAAAGTAAAAATATCAACTTGAAGTCAAAATAAAAAGTATCACATTGAAAATGATTATCGCTCTCATCTCTTGTTTATTTTTCATTTCATTTTAAATTGTTGACAAAACTTATCGATTAAAACTCAATTGCTATCGAATCAGTTAATCATCTTGAAGATAAGTTTGTTTTTTCCTCTTAATTGTGATTAGTTTTCAAGAGCTAGTCAACATTGTGAAAGATATTAATGTTTTTTTTTGTTACGATTAAATGTCTCTTGATTTATTTATCACTCTGTAGACACGTTATCGTTAATAAATTGCTTTGGAAATAGATTTAATCGTCGAGTATTGTTAGATAATCAAATTTAATTCAATTAAATCAATAATGTTTCGAATCATTTTCAACAGAATGATCTTGAATCTTTGATTCGTAGTTTTCATTCAGCTTTTGATTATTGGTGTACAAACTTTAACTTAATAGTCAATTGAGTTGATCTCGAGTTTTTAATTTCCTGGTGAAGATGAAGTTCTTGTTAATCGTATTTTTAACATTCTATGTTATTGTCATTTCGACTGAATCGATGGGGTCGAGATTATTGAGAATCTCAGGATACCATTCTCAATCGTTAGGTTGTTCTGGTGAATACGACAGAGTGGCTTTGGCCTCTTTGGATCAAATCTGTGCTGATTGTTACGAACTTTATAGAACTCCCGATATGAAAACATCATGCTCGTAAGTTTATTCGATAACATTTACTATCAATTCTTTATTTAATCCAATCAATTTGATGAAATTCTTTACAGGGATAACTGTTATATCAACGATATATTCCCAAAGTGTGTCGTAGCGGTGGTTTTACCTCATCAACACAAGGAAGTGTATACGAAGCGAAAACGCGTCGCAAATGCTTGAAATCGTATTGATATTAATTCAGAGACATTCATGATCGATTTAGATAATGAATCCTCTTTCCAGAAGTAACAACCATCAAGAATAATCTAGTTGGTAATCATTCAGATTATGAAATAATTGATGCTCATTAGATTTTCCATATTATCATGACTTAGCTGATGATTAATTTCACATTTAGAATTAAATTTTAGGTGAATTAAAGCTTATTGATTTCAATCAATTGAATTGTATCTTTTCTTTCAATGAACAATCAAGATGCAGTTTACTGATTTAATTTACAATCAGAATCATAATTTATTTAATCATTTGAAGATGTTCCTTGAAGCACCAAGGATTTTCCTTCCAAGGTAAGGAAACTTAATTGTCCCTCTCGTCTGGTCATCGTAATTAATTGAATTTGATTTAGTTGATTAACAACCAAGTTAAGAGAGATCATTAATATTAAAAGCTCAGGGGCAGATAATCAAAGTCTCCAGCCCCAAGACCCTCTTGCGGAAACGATTGAATTGTTACAATCAATTTACTTAACATGGGACGTTGTGGTTATCACGCATTTTCAACTGGAAACTTCAGTGTTGATAGTTACTCATGTATGGTCACTTGAGGTCATCAAATACCAATGATCGCATCTTGCATCACCACCATTACTCAATGGTGGATACATCTTCTTATTAAACTAAAACGGTTCAAAACGAGTCTAATTCCCATTCAGATATTCAACTTGACCTTAAGGTGAAATTTTCAATCGTCCAGTCTTCAACTATCGGACTCGAACCATGTTGACCTAAATCCTCGAAATCGAGTCTATTGGATTTGGCTGATCTTTGAGAAAAACTTTATGAAGGTAATGGTGATTTCTTTTGAAAAGAAAAACATTAAACTGATAATTTTAACAGTCGATGAAACAATTCACGGAAACTAGAGTAAATTGTCTTTTATTGAAATAATTTCGAGCAATGGTCACATTGATTTAAAGCTCATTCGATGTTATTAAATTTAAACTTGAAACAACCGAAGTTCAAATGATTAAATTTCTTTTTTATCCTTTTTAATGATATTTTTTTGTAGGTCAAATATATGTTGATGTTCCTGAGCTTGAAACAAAGCGGATGTACACCTTGTGAAAATTTTGTTTACAACAATTTGACCTTAAATTGAACGACAAGGCACAAATATTACTTCAAATTTCGAATTTGGTATAGTTATTGATTGAGATTCTTTAACAGTACTTACGAACAAATTAATGGTATATTAGCCTCACGATAAACTTCATAACAATCCTCGCAAACTCTTTTTAATCAGGCCAAAGTCGACGGATCGAAAACTCCATGACATTGTTGATGAATGAAATTACAAATGTACGTTTGGAAAGTTTATTCAAAAACTCACCTAAAGATGAAACTTGAAGAAACTTGAGCCCCAAAAGAAACAATATCAACACGAATAATTTAATTCTCTTCACTTGAATCGGATGAATTTGGTCAACAAAAGTTACTATTATTATAAGACTGAGTTTAATCTTCTCGTCAGTTTAATACTTAATCTTTTATTATGACAAATTTTATGTCATTTATTTGATAAGTTCACGAGTCAATAACAGCTAATACGGATAATATAGTCGATAGACATTGGTCAAGTTTTATTGTATCTCCGATACCTCACCTTGAGGGAGTTAAGAACAACAAATTAATTATCTTATACTCGTGGACATTGCCCACGTCATAATTAAACAGTATGATACCTTCCTCGAGGATGGTAATAGTTAAATAATTACAATAATTAACTTCTGGTTTCAATAATTGCTACGTTTAGTTCAATTGTTGGTAAATTAAATAGAGGAAAATTGAAGTTATTAAATCAAATTGATTAAATATTGAATTTACTCACAATTAACTGGAAATTTATGCTAACTACTTGATTGAAGTTTAAAAATATTGTTGAAAATGTAGACTAAAAGAAGTTAATATGTAACTGATTAAACTGTTCATATTGATTGTCAATTAAGTAAATTGTCATCATTTGATTACTTATATTATTCATTGATCAAAATAGCAATGAAAATTTCTCAGATTATCAGGTGATCATGTAATCAGCTGACAATCCGTACTGTTAAAAAAGTGATCAAATGTCAAATCCATTGACATTAACCAGAAATGAGGTGATAATTAACCGATACAACTGAAATATCGTAACAAACTCTGAAGAATTCATGTGACACAACATGATAACCATTGTTGAGAAACTTTTTGACAGTTTAAAAGTTTTAGAAAAATCTTTTGAAAATTTGTTCTTTTATTGGAATATATGAAAAAAATCATCTCTCTCTTTCCGAATCCTCTTCATCCGATAAAATTCATCGTTACATGAAAAAGGTAAACTATCATGTCTAAATATAATATTCTCAATAAGATACACGAGAAAGAAAATTCTGATAATATCCAATACAAAATGTTGCAAACTTTTCGTCAACCAGAATAATAATGAAACATTTAATAAAATATTCACCAATCTCATTGATTGTTATCATCGATTGTGTCACAATTGATCAACTATTATCACTATTTAGCTTTATTTCCGATTCCACCAGAAGAGTAAACCGATTGACTGAATCAGAATTTTCTGTTCCATATATTGAATGGCAATACCATCTCAAATCAACTTATTTACAATAATCTTTAATCCCTTAAATCAAGAAGCATCATTTCAATAGATGAGTAAACAAATTAAACAACAGATCATCAATCAAGTTATGATCATGTAAAGGTCAGTTCTTAGAATCTGAATCATGAATCTTTTGGGAGCTCTAATGTATTAATATTAGTCTTTCTCAATTACCCTTCTCTTTTCATATTATTATTATAATCTTACATTGGGAATGAAGGAAGGGAAAAAATTCCCAGTTCTGATATTGGGATAAATATGATAACACATTTACTACCCTGAAATAAACACTCAGAGTAGGAGGATAAACGAGGAATCAAGTGAATGAATTTTATCATGAATAAAAAAAAGGGATAAACAGAATGAGAATGATGAAATAATATTACCAATAGTGATGACGATGCTGATGAAGAGAAGGAGGAGAAAAGATGATGCGGATGATGATATTATCATGGAAAAGGTTACCTGACATGAGCAGAGGAATAAAAGTTCTGTGAGACTCTGAATTCTGAAAGACAACAGAATTGAAAGTTTACTTTCATGATCTGTTGATCAAAAGAAGCCAAACTAATCTGTTCCCTTTGATTATCCCTTTTGTTACTATTACAATTTAAATCTCAACAGCGGATTAACAATCAACTTGTAACCAACTGAAAGACAATTGAAAAAACAATCAGAACAATTAAAAAAAGATATTAACTGAATTTCATCAAATCAACATTGAACTTTTTTCTTCTTTAACAACTTTATTCAATTTTTCGTCGAGCTGAAGTTTGTTTTTACTTCTGTTGTGACAATTACTCATCTAATCAATTGTAATTAACTTTTAATTGTGCAACTGATTAGCCGAAATTTTGATCAATTTGTAAATTGTTTTTTTTTCTATCTGTGATTGTTTACAATTCGCAATTCAAACTGATTAACTGAATTATTGTGATTAGTGATTTGTTTTCTGTCGTAATTGTTTTCCTCCGATCAATTATATTAGACAATATTCAGCAATGTCCACTGACGGTCATTCACCAAATTCAATTTCTAGCAAAGGTTTGAATAAATGGAGAGGAAGGAAAAAAACTCTCACAATTATTTTCCAAAGTTTCTTTGACTATTCAAAAAGTTTTCACTTCTTTTCAATTGTTTGCATGAAAATCTGATTCTGTTTACCTTTGTTATCGTATTGTCATCATGTTTATTTCAGTTGTTTACTTTTTACCTGAAAGAAAAATGATGAGAAAATTTCATTCACATTTTCCATTATTCTGTTTTTTTTTCTTCGGATTTCGAGGTTCTCATTGTCGTAAATGTTTGTGAACGTATGAGAATAAGAGACTTACGATTATTCAATCGATAGATTGCGAAAAAGATGATAATTGTGAGAGAAGTGAAAAAAATTCGATAGTTTTTTTCTTGTTCAATATTCTGTCAACTTAACTATTTACGATTTCTCACCATACGATTTACGATTCTCAGCATTAATTGTTTTGTTTTCTGCTGATTTTCAGGTGAATTGGGTAAAACAGTGAAGGAAAAACTGGACAATTTGCTCAAGAAAACTCCGGGACTCGAGGTTCCCCCGGAGGCAGGATTTTTCCGCCGTCGCCGTCGTCGGTCACTCCATCTTGCCGAATGTCCATCATACGAAGATTCATCAGCAGAAAAAGAAGGTAAATATTTAACTCTATCGATTTCCAATCGCTTACAAATTTCATTATCAAACTCATAGTAAATATATTATATTTATGATCCTCTTATCATGACACAATAATAATAAACCATCATCATCACCATGTTAATGATAATATTGACGGTGAATATCATCATCATTATCATCATTGTGGTGACTTTACCTCTCAAACTGACAGCATAATCATAACATGATCGTTATGATGATAAAAACAACACCAATAGTAAATCAATATCATTGTAAACATATGAAAACAAAGAGTAGCAAATAAAAAGCAAATCAACAATCATTGAGATTATCATTCTCATTCATGATTAGTATATAATATTTTGTATCTCAATGTTTATATCTTATATTGTTGTAACCCAATTGAATCAAGGAAAAAAATTATCCATAACAATTGGCTATCAAAATTGTCTATTTGTTATCACTTCCCTTGGATTAACGGTACATAATATTTATCATCTGATATCTGATGATTAAACTTACCCACATATAAATCATCATCATTATTATTATCATGATTACATTTAACTCGAAAGGTTCAGCCCAATGGGATCTTAATTAGTAATAATTGAACAATATGAGGAAAAAAAATTAACACCAGGAAATACAATGAAAATGAAATTAGGTCAACAATTAATTTCCTTGTAAATAAATCTCAAGATAATTAGATATAAGATACGATTTGATATATATATAAATATAGATTGTCTCAGGAAGATTTATTTATCCATCGTTAATATTACTCCAAGATGATGATCTTTCTTAATTTAGCTGAATTGATGAAGATAATTAATTGTTCAATGTTTACTTTAATTCACTTGTTACAAAATTAAATTATCATCAACATCTCAAACCATGAAAAACTTTGTTGTTGTTTCTGTAAAACTTTTACATTATTATTATTGTTGTTGTTGATTACATGATTTTCTCGTTAATTGTTTGTTAATTGAAATTTATGCCTAATTGTTGATGTTAAATTGCTATTCCTGTAAACCATTAAATGATTAAACAACGAAACCATCCTGATAATTTAATGGTTCATTTGTATATATCTCATCTTATGGATTCAAGATGAACAACAATTTTGTTTTTCGAGCAAAACTTTCACAAAATCATTAATTGTCTTCTAATTGTTGCTGTTGTTTACTGATCGTAGTTTTGTCTCAATTATATTGATCGAGTAAATTATTGATAAAACTAAATTACAGTTAATTACAATCTAAAATTAACTCTTGAACAACAGTCAAGACAAGGAAATCACTTCCACTGCAATTATTGAATTTTTGATTACAACTCTTGTCGATTAATTGATTGCTGTACATTTTCAGCCTTTTAATTGTTTGCCTTATTTTTTTTTCTCGACAATTAACTTTAATCATTACCTGTTAATCCTTATCAATGGTAGTTATTTGTTTATCTACAAATGCATTAATCATATTGTGTTGAATTCACCAATCGGTTTACTTGCACAATAGACAATAGGTAACCTTAATTATCAGTGATTCACCAGCAATTAGCATATGAAAACAATTGAACATGATTTAAAATACGATTTAGAAAACTAAATTATGATTATGCAAACGATTACGTTGATTGTTTACAATTTAACCCAAATAACTAAATTGAATCTGCAACAGATAAAACTGAGAGACTTTTAAATTGCTAATATTAGGAAGGAGCTAAATTAAACTTTACCGTTAATGGTTACGATATTATCTTCAATGTTGTTAGTTTAAATTTACAAGTTAAATTGTGACAATTTAACCTTTTTCTTGCAAATCATTTTCAAAGTAAATGATTATTTACAATTTGTCCAAATAATTTAGAAAATTGTTCCAATGAGAAAAGGAAAGAAAAACAATTTTTTCCAACCGATAATTCAGTTGAATTACAGAACCTATTCAATTATCATGAGCCACTCAACTTATTTTTCCTAAACTTTCACCCACTTTTCATGCCCATGCAATTGATTCATGAGTAGATTTCATGATTGTCAACTATTTATCTCAACAAAAACTTCAAATATCAAATGCTAGTGAGGTTTTTTTTCATATATATTTTTATTTTTATTTTCCAGCTCAAGTTCATGTAATATTAATATAATTCATGAGATTCATTATAAGAGTTGATGGTCAATAATAATACGATATAAAGTTAATCTCAATTCAATCAACTGAAGGATAAACTGTTTCTAATAGTGAACTTTTTTTTACTCAATCTCAATTTATTACATTTATCATGATGATGATGATGATTATTATCGTAACCGCTTGACACAGTTTTGTAAGTAGCCATAAATGTCAATTGATATTATTCCGGAATGAGTGATAAAAGTTCAACAGTTTACCATGAAAGTTGTAAAATATTTACTCGTAAATTAAATCAGTTGAATTAAATTGGCAATTCATAAACTGTATTGATAATATTACCTGAATAATATTACTCATCCTGTATGATGGATTGACTTTATCCCTTTGGATAAAATCAGATATGATAACAAATGTTTAGATTATTTCAAATTTCTGTATCTCCATGAGATCTTCAATTTTAGGATTTCATGATAATACTCAAGGAGAGTGGAAATGATTTTATCTATTACTATTTTCTGAGCAATTCTAATACTTTTTTCTCGCTTCTCCTGAAAATGAATCAATAACTGAGCTATTCCATGAATCGATTCAACTTTGTTACAATATAATCAATTAGATTTTTCCTTTTCGGCTGAAATGTCAACGATAATCCAGTTCAATCTCAATTTATCTTGTTTACAATTGCCTGTTGATTAAGTACAATCACTATAATCTACAAATTAATTCCATCACTTTCCATTACTGTTATTCACTGGATTAGCTGGTATATCTGATTAATGTTATATAATCGTAACAGATGAAACCATTTTAATTAACTGAGTCAATTGTTACATAATCGCAATTGAAATGATGACAAATTAGGCAACAAAAATTCATAATTGTCGTTACCCTTTGTAAATCAATAACATGACCCAATTTTTTTTCGTTACCTTCATGAAACCAGAAAAAAATACAACGAACAAAAAAACAATAAACAAAACATGAGATCGACATTTCAATTTCCGGGTAGGTACATTTCCCCATCCAAAAATCAGGGTAAACAAGAAATGAAATAAAATGAAAAATAAATTACATCTAAAATGGAATCTGAGTCAAGCTGAACAATCAGGAACCATGATGATGATGATGATGATGATGACGATTCTGTAGCTCTGACATGATAGCAAAAAAACTGAATGAATTCTTATTAAAATCTAAACTTTTTTCCTTCTTTTCATTTGGAACTTTTATCCTCCTTCCATGTCCACCATGATGAAGTTTCAGGAATGATGACAAATAAAAAGGAAGAGGATATTTTCATTGCTCACAATGAATTAAATGACCAGAAAAGTTGCGTTTTTATCCGGAACATGATTCTTGATGAATCTTCATGATAATAGAGATGATGATGCTTGATAAGCAAGTCAATTGAACAAAAAAAAAGTTCTCAACAAATCAACTAACTAAGCAATCAAGTAAATAATAATTTCATTCTGATTCTTAACTGATATATATATATGAGTTGTTAATATTAGATCGCCAATGAACCCGAGGACAAAAAGAGGCAAGAAATTGAATTGAAATCAATAAGAGCATCATGTTCATTGTTAATCTGTTAATCAGTTTCATTCTCAATCCAATCCTGGTTCATTTTTCATCTCTTATTTATCCAAAATCCATATTTATTTATATCCTACCTTTTCAGCCTATTTTACAATTCCTATTGTCAGAATTTTCTCATTTTTTCATCCTCCATGACACACAGAATGTTCAGTTCATTGCACTAATAAAATGATTCAAATGATATTACCTTCAATTTCATACTTATCATGATATGAATCATGTCAAAGTCACAATATATTTAAATTTATATTACTAAGGGGAAATAATAATAATACCAACTATTGAAAATCATTCAGAGCTTATTATAATTATTATTTACCTGTCTCATGAATATCATGATGATTATCATTGAAATTATTTCTCAAAGATTATCAAGATTGTAATTACAATTGAATTTTCATTCAATTATCTGATTAACACAATTTACTCAACAAAAGTCAATTAAAACTCAATTTCATCAACAAATTGATCTTTACTTTTTACTTTTGTTTTGATAACAATAAGTAGAAATTATAATTTATATTAATATACAATTAAAATATTAATAACAATTTAAATGACACAATTTTATTAAGTCATAGACATGAATATAAATATCCCATATCCCTTCAGGCTATTTACTTTTTTTTCCTGTTTTGCAATTTCATTAACATTTATTTTAGCAAAATTTTCATTCCAATCCTGAGTAGGTTCAGCTTTGAACAATTAAAAATATATACATGTAATAATAACCTTAAGAGATTGGTGATATTCAGCATTTCCAATTTTATTCTTGATCAATCCCTGATTCTTAATGGTTAGAGTTGATTGTTGTCTCTTTATTTTCACTTTCAAGATGATGATGGTGATGTCAACTTCAATTTAACCCAATCCAATGTTACTTTTAATCAAGAAATAACCTTTAACTTGAAACCAATTAATCTTAATTTACCGTTACCTTTTGGGTTCATCTTGATACAAATCTCGGTGTAAATCAAAGCTGCTAAACTGTTGGTTAATCGAGATGAGGTAAGAAACTTTAATTGTCACTATTATACAGGCCCAGAGACAAATCTCACCTTTTACAAAGGATGAGGATGTAGATAATGATTAGGCAAGGGAATGAAGATGGAAACACCAAAACAGGTACAAAATTCATCATCCAAGATGAGAAAATGTGAGATGCTGAACATTGCAGTCTATTGGTAATATGTTTGAGATGAAAGCTCAGCATCTTTATCCCAGATTACCTTTTTTATATTTAATTCCAACCTCCCACTCACCTCTCTGAAAATCCAGGAAG